CCCCCCCCCCCCCCCCCCCCCCCACTCCAGTAAGGTTTTCTTTTGCAATCGGTAAGGAAAGAAAAGAAAAAAAAACGGCATACATCAGCTGTGCAAAATGACTCAAAAAAAACTATATTCGTAATAAAATCAACCAATTTTTATTCTCTCTCCTAATACTATTACTTTTTGCCGCGAGTCTTTAAGAAGAAAAAGAAAATGAGCAATAAAAATAAAGAACATAGCAGGGTTTGTCGTTTAACTGTTGTTGTAAGTTTTGAACTTGTTACTTCATTAGTTCATTCCTTGTTTCTATATATTTAGAAAATAGTCGATAGTGGCCCAATAGCTTCGAATAATACAGATACCGATGCGAGTGATACAGACGAAGGACAAGTATTAACACGTGAAACAGTCATTCGTCATTCTCCACAGCAGAAAAGACCTATTTCACCAGCGCCTACAGTAAATGTTGTTAACAATAAAAAAGTAAAACTTGAACAATCAACAAATGATATTAAAAACAAAAAAGTACAATCAGTAATTAAGAATGACAGTCTTAGTAAAACAATAGTTAATAGTAAAAAATCTAAATTCGTGTCATATAAATCTTCCTCTGTAATAGAAGGAAAAGTTTCTAAAATCTTACCAATAAAAGAATCAAATCAAACAATTATTGCGAAAGATAATACTGAAAGTAAGAAAATTTCTAAAAAAACGTTTGTTTCTTTATTTTTATCTAACTAAATTTTTAGATTTATCATTATCTAAAGTGCGAACATCAACAAAATTAGTTAAATCACAATCAACCAATGATATTACAAATTCCATTCAATCGACAATAAGTAGCATAAAAAAGAAAGAACCTATTACTTCTCCATCAAAAAGTAAATTGGTAACAAATCTACAAAATGGACCAAAGAAAACAATCAATAAAAATCCTTCGAAGCCTTCAAATAAAACAGAACAGACAGTAACTTCGATTGTTAAATCACCTTCAAACAATATTATTAAACAAGAGCTATTATCACAATCACGATCATCATCATCATCATCATCAACTAATACTTGTTCCAATAATACTAATACATCAGTTCCAATTACTAATCTTAAAAAAATTCCCAGAAAACCTGTACCGACACGACCGTCGTCTACAATTGTAGAAAAAAAGTCTCGTCCATCGATATCTTCTTCTTCGACAAATCGAAATTCGATTCGAGTAAGATAATAGTAAATCGTTTTTTCTTGCGTACATGTAAATAGTATTATTTTTTCAAAGAATTCACAAAAACAACAATTAGTATTATCTACAACTCAATCTAATGCGAAACAAGATCGTTCTTCATCATCTATTAATAGTTCTACTAATAGCAATTCTTCAGGCAAAGCTAATATTTCTAAAAGTAATTTTCAAAATATAAATAAGAAAAATATTTTATCGTGAAATCTAGAACATTCAATACATCAATCTTCGAATTCATCTCAACATGACCAATCAAATCGTTCTTCATCGTCACCTAATAAGCCATTAACAAAAACTAAAAAGTCAACTCTTCCTAAACTTTTTTGCAGTCCTTCTCAATCCCAAATCGATCTTCCTATTAATTCAACTATTTTATCATCATCATCATCATTATCATCGTCATCTAGTGGTATATCTCAACCATCAGCGTCTAATTCACCATTCACTCATGTCTTTCAAAATGAAAATAATCATAGTCAAGCTTCAATGGATATTGATGATAATCCTTGTCGACGTTCAGATAAATCTGATTCACGTAACTATTCAATCTAAAAGACAAAGAAAATTTTTTATTGTTCTATTATTCGAATTTAGCTCATGAACAAATTCTGATTCAACCAATACAAATTTCATCAAATCCAATCGTTCAATCTGACCAAGTAGATATGAATGATAGTGATACATCAATAGACGATGGTAACGATGATGAAGATTTACCAACTAGTCTTACTAACGATGATTTACGTTACAAATTAATATATATTTATAAACGTTTTCAATTAAACTCCATGAATGATCTTATTATATTTGTTCGTTTCTTTAAACGACATCAATTAATTGATACATCATCATTATCAATGGCAAAAAACAAAAATGAAATGTTTACTTATGATCTTTTTTCTCTCAGTCCTTCACACATTGGTGAATTAGCAAGTGATCTTGGCTATACAACAACGAATATGTTTAATTCCATTGCATAGTGATTTTAAAATTGAATATGTGTGATTATTCTGTCTCCTATCTTTCTTCGCTCCCTCTCTCCCTCTTATCTAGATATAATGCGTTGTTCAATATTCAATTGCCTTTCACGCATGTAAATAATTCTAACAGTAAGAATGATATCTAATAGAACACGAATCTTTCTCTCTTTATTTATTCGATTGCATAAAAACGAATAATCTTTAGATAATATAATACACTATTTATAAGTAAGATAGTATTTTCTTTTTGCATGAAAGAGTCAAATTTTTAATGGCTAAAAATTGATGCAATCAGATACGAAACAGCATAATGTGTATCAAAGAAAATTATTCAATACAAGTGTTTCTTTTCTTTATTAACAATTCAGTTTGTTTTTATGTGAATACTTGTGTAGTAACAATGATTTATGTCAACAATGAAAATAATGTTTTGCTTACCTGTATCGGCACTACTACTAAAATAAATACTGGATCCATGGAAATCAGAAAAACATAGTTTCTAAGCAATGCATAATGAGACAAATTGCCCTACCTTATTTTCATAATTAAAAAAACAACAGCTTAGAAACCACAGTTACAACATGATTCTGTTTTATTAAAGAATGTCTGTAATTTACAAAAAGAATCTACCCTCTCGTAACGATTATTTCTAGACTACACAATCATTCTTCTTTTAAACGAAGCCAAGACAAAAGAATATGTAACCTACATAAGCAATATGTCTGAAAGTCATCCATCTTATCGTTTAATTCGTCTTAAATAAGAAGAGATCAAAAACTTTCTTTATTTTATTCTTTCTAACTAAAAATAATTATAGAAAAAAGTAAACAAATAAAAGGAATAAAACATTATTTAAATGTAATAGAACTGCAATAAATATCTATCACACTTACCTTATCTTATCAACATCTTCTCTTACAAGTATTTATTTTGTTGCATCGCTTTAATAGCACTACATGACAACCAAGCATTAGTGATTATAACAAAAAATAAAGAACAAAAAAAACGCGTAATAAATTGACTAAACCACTAAGTAAGATTTTTTGTCTTTATTAACAAATGATACTTTATATATATATATATATATATATTCTGTATGCTAATACTGATTTCTTCAGATTATTGTGCACAACCTATAGGCATATATACAATGCCTATTTTCGACTTGAATGCGAGCCTGTTGGAGTGATTTTTAACTGTTAATGTAGATGACAGACAGAAAAAAGAAAGAGAAAAAAAGAGCAATTTTGGCTGATAAGTAACCAATATAAAATAAAAATGGACGAGCGTAGATGTTGACAGACGTTTTTTTTAAAGACTTGTATAAAATGCTTTTCTTTTGATTCACTATTCGCAACCGAATGGTGATGAACGACATTTCTGTAGCACAATTAAAAAAATTGGTAGGTTGCTTTGTTGTAGTGACGCGGTTACCTTCATTTAAATTGAAGCATCAAATAAAAATTCATCGAACGTTTTTTTTCTCCACTGACTGACATTCAAACAAATGAGGTAAGCATAATATTCAGCACGTCCTTATGACCATTCCGTGTTAAATCATTAAGAAAGAAAAAAAAAAGGTTAATTGAGTTTGAACAATTGGCGACGACTGTGATAACAACTTTTTTAAAAGTAAACTCAAGTGTGTGAGTGTGAGAGAGTTTTCCTTGCTTGTTTCAGGATCATTTTATTTATTTATTTTTGTAAAATTGAATAAACCTACAAATGAAAGACAAGCGTCCCTGAAGTATTTTATACCCTGATTAAATTCAAATCATATCACGCTATAAAAAAAATTTCATCTGCTGTGCATGCGTGCCCTGTGTTGTTGCTTCTTTTTTTGATTTAGAAATCTTCACTCGTGCATATATCGGTATTATCATAGAAAAAGAAGCTTTTCTATTTTTTGCTCAGAATAGTATTATTTATTCGTATTTTATTCGAGGATTTTTTTCCTTCTTAACGAATACCAATCGTACAGTTTATTTCTTATGTTCCATTAAAAAAATACTTTTCTTTTCTTCTTTTACAATCATCTCAAAGTTGAAACACCAACAAAAAGACAAAGACTCGTGCACACACAAACAAAAGCACACGCTACGAGCTTGAAAGAAAAAGAAATAAAAGAGGAAAAAAGTGAAAATCCTATTACCGTTCCTTGTTCAGAAGTGTACCGTGAACAAGAGAATCAAATAGGAGAGAAAGAAATCGTTACGACTATTCGCGAAGGCGCATATATCGTTCCAAAATCACACATATTCTTTATTTTACTTTTTTTAAATTTATTTCGGCTGTTTCTATTCACACTAATGTTTACATAACCAATGTAATGAAATGTTTTCGTTGTTAAATTTATCGTAGATATGACCTATGAACTTAATTGTTAACATATATCATATGCTTATCATTACATTACTAACGCCTTTCATATACAGTTCAGGTCAGTTTTATGCATATTAGAAGATAACAATATTAAAAACATGATTCAGAATTTCTTAAAATTTAAAATTAATTTGAACTTTTCAATGGCATGAGTTAGTAAATAAACGACTCATAAATGTTGAAATGATTGAAATACATGTATTTCGAGAAAAAGTTTTTTTTTGAATAAGAAACAAAAGAGGTAAAATAAATGAACCAACACGGCTTTGAGAGTAAAGAGATGTATAAAATTGGCGACATTCGCTTTTTTTGCTTCTCAATTCAAATTCTTTTATTGCCTCTTGTAAAATAAGGACTTGCGTATTTTCTCATTTTGCATTTTCTTCGTAACTATAACTCTCTCATATTTACTTTGCATTCATTTATCATCATGAAATTCGATTTATTTGCATGATTGCACCTATTTATGAATAGATTCATAATTCATCTACATCATTTTAGATTTTATACAGACTACGAATAGACTTGTTAGCGATGATCATCTTATTTGTTTACCATTGAGCTTGATCCTTTTCGCTTTTTTTCATAGTCTAAAAAAAAATACTGAGACAGAAAATAAAAGACAAAGTAGTAACGATGAGATGATCGTTGTCATCGTTGTCGTCATATCATTTTTTCGTCCTTCCTCTCTTCTCCTCTCTTTTCGGTCTCTCTCTTCCTCTTGACAACAGTCCGTCGCTACAGCATTGCATACACCTTCTATACTATGGTGCTCTCAAGATGTTCTCTTTGCCGTTCGCGTAAAAGAGCATTATATTTTCGCGCAAGTAATTATTGGAACAATACACATACACAATGTTGCTATGCAACTGAGCCTTGTGTTGTTGTTCAAAAAACGAGACGCTCGCTCGCACATACACCGGAGGAGACCAACACACTTTCAGATTTGGCATATAAATGACGAGAGAGAAAAAAGAGAACGGCGAGAATGAAAAATATAATTGCTATATAAACAAATCGATTACAAAGTGAAGGTTATAGCAGTTAAATTTCCAAATAAGAAAAAAGCCCTCTTCAGATTAATTATCCCTTGAGATTTTCACTATTAAATAGCTACTGATAATTTTATGGTTAGATATTTGTGAGTTGTTCATTACGTATATTATTTGTCTAAAAGAAATTCTATTAAACAAATTCATATGAAGTTCGTTGATTTAGTGAAAAAGAGAAAGAAAGAAAACTAGAAAAGCGTTCTGTTACACACGCATATATTTGACTGATTTGATTTTTTGTTGCTCTTTGTACCGTACATCCACCTATCAGCCGATCGATAGTAGAAAAAGAGAGTTGGCCGCATTTTCTGTTTACAAAACATTGATCAGGCAACCTTAGAATTGTTTGCTACGAGACGAATTGGCAAAAGCAAATAACCTGAGTTGAAGTTTATACTTGATTAACGATAAAATTTCAGAAGTAAGTGTAAAAAATACAACGAGCAATATCCTAGCTTTTAGTTAATATGAAATAATGATTTCATAAAAGTGTAAGTCTGACTGACCTACTGAAGCCTATCTAAAGCATTTTATTCTACAGCACCAGAAATTTTATTTGTTCTTATTCTTCTTTCAGATTGATACTTGGCGATGACGATAACAAAGACCAATATACTCTTACATTCAGCATCACGACCACAACTTATTTCTTGTCTTGACGCTTATTTTTGGGCTTCTTACTTCACATCATCATAGTTTCATCATCATTTACTTTTTCGTCTTTTTTCTTCTTCTCTCTCTTCATTTCGATCTCATACATTCATACATATACACGCATATATATTAAAATCCTTTCTACAAAATGATCACTGAATATGATCCACATCATGGTCAGAATGACTCTCAACAACAGCAACAGCAACAACAACAGCGTGCATCAACTCTTGAACATGGTCGAGCTATAAAATTAATGAGAAATGGAGATTCATTTTTTCCTGGACGTTCATTTGTTATAAATCAACGCAAATATCCAATGCTCGATGTTTTATTAGACGATGCATCACAAGCATTAAGAGCAAATTTTGGTGCAGTAAGATGTATCTACACACCTAAAAGTGGTACGCGATTACATGATATATCTGAGCTCGAAGACCATCGAACTTATGTTGCATCTGGAGGTGAAAAATTTAAAAAGCTTCAGTAAGAATGTGAACAAATTAGTTTTTGACAAGATTCATTTAAATGATTTTGTTTTAGTTATCTTGATATTGCAGATGGTAAACGAGTTCAAAGTAAAGAACGAGGACAATATAGAGTAAGTATAACTAATACAGAATAATATATATGTATCTATATATAAATTCTATTTATTCATCAATATACTTATTGAGAACGATAGAATTTATACTTATTTTGATTAAATATTGAGTTAATCCTTTTTTTTAAATCTCCTTAGAGTATCACAGATATTAGTAGAGATAAGTGCACTGATGATTGAAGAAAATATGAGTATAGATTGTTATTATTATATAATAACTTCAAAAGTTAAGTTTCCTCATCGAAATGTGATCTTGTTCAAGTCATTATAAAAAACGTAAAATGTTAAATTTTCTATTTTTTGTTGCTCTCTAGCTACCACCTGTTCGACGTTTTGACGTTGAAGGAAGAGCATTAAAATTATCTCGATCAGAAAATGTTATTATTTAGTAAGTAGTTATTTTGTTCTTTTTTTTTTCATCTATCAAATCTGATTATTATTTCATTTTTAGTGCCTACCGAAATGGTGATCCTTTAACATTGCCATCAAAAGTTCTTCTAGTTAAGCCAACATTACAAAATTGGGAATCAGTTCTTGACGAAGTTACTAGAAAAGTATCCCTATCATATTCGGCTGTATTGAAGTATTTACATGAGTCTTATGATTGATTTTTATATCATAAGAACAAATGTGTTTTTATTCAGGTTGTATGCAATGAATGGAGAATTAATAACATCAGCTCAACAACTTGAATTCAATGGCATGTACGTTGCAGCAGGAAAAGAACGTTTCAAACGTATTGAATATCCCGATCCAAAATCCATTAGTCCAAATTCATCACCAAAAATGTCAAGAAAATCGTAAGTAGAAACTGATACATTTTGCTTGTCTAAGTTGTAAATAATTCATTAAAGCAAAAGCATATTTAACATAAGACTATTAATGCATTTGATGTTCTTTTTAATCTCAACATGTCTTTCTTTCCCATTAAATTAGATCGAATTATCAATTTTCTGGGTATGTATTAGGATACCCGATGTGATATAACACAGCAAATAGTAGCGTGTTATTTGCATCGGTAGATAAGCAATAAAAAACAGACTATCCGTACTAATTTACAAAAAAAAAACAAAAAAGTGTGTAATGTTCTTAGAATTGTATTGATACACATGTAGTTAATTATTTATATCAAGTCGCATGATCTTCATTCAGGCAAAAGTATCTCGTAAATTTTTGTAGTGATCGTGCTCGAATAAGATTATCTACCCGTCAAACGAGACTAGAAGATTATAATGATAATCATCCACCGCCAGACATGCTTCATTCCATTCAACACAGGTATTATTTAATAATAAATATCTTCAACTGCCGGCGATGCTATTCTCTATTCTAATCAACAGACGATTGAGTGTTGAAATGCGAAATTACAAAGACAACATAAATTACCATGATTTACTTCTTCTTCTTGTTCTTTTTCTTCTTCTCCTTCGTAGATTTTCAAATTAATACGTCGATAAATTTTCATTGATCTCTATTATTTAATCATGTTTTTTTCGTTATATAGATATACAAGATCGGATGGAACAAATACACATACAACAACAGCAAATTCGCACGGAAGTGTTGAACATGGTGGACAGTAAGTTAGTTTAATTATGTATATTTTAAATTAACTATTATATTCTAAGACGACGTCCTGTTCGAGAAGAATATGACTTTTTCAATAATAAACCTCAACAACATCGACGTGGTCCGACTAAAGAAACAGATCTTGATCGAGGTTATATTAGACAAAAACACTGAAACTATTCTTTTCAAAAATTTCTTTAGATGACGGAGGTATTTATAAAGGTCGTTTAAATCATCGTGAACATGTACGTGAAATTGATGAAACACATGATACAAAAGTCGATTTGCCTGTAGATTATCGAGAAGTTGAAACTGTTGAAGTAAGTTATAAAAATTGCTAAAATCGATAAGCTTTTTGTTTATACTTTTAGGACGAGAATTTATTTGGCAATGCAGGAGTAAGCTAATTCATTTTTCTATATCCTTAATGAAAATTGATATCCCTATTAATCTTATTTATTATCTAGAAAACACCACGTCGCCATCATCAACCGCCAAGTCAACCAAAGTCCAATCGAAATTTTACTGATTCACCTCAACGTTCACCACCACCACCACTACTACCATCACTACGATCAGTAAAAGTATACTGCATTGACTGAAAATAAAACGGTAATTTTCAATTTGCTTGTTTCTTTTTCTTCTTCACTTAGACTCCACCAAAAACTTACGAAGATCATCATGATGATGATGACAAAATTAACAATAGATTTGGAATGAATAATGGCCATCATCAGAAGAATAATCATCATGATAATACAAATGGTAAAGGTTTTGACGATGATTATCAACGTCATACACCACCGGCACCATTACCAATAGATGATGGAATAATCCATGATCAAAATGAACAACAAATGTCTCATTCAACTCATCACAAACCACTTGGCTCACCAAGTTCACAGGTATAATTGTAATCCATTGAAATTCGATTGATTTTGTTTTACTAATATTTAAACACATGTGCATTTGCGTGAGAGTGAGCTTATAAAACTTCTTTATAGCCTAACAGAGATAATGAGAATCATGCTGCAACTGTCATTCAATCACATGTTCGTGGCTATATTTCACGTAAACATAGTCATATTGAAAAGCAGCGAAATACTGACAAATTAATCAATAATCATGATCAACAACAACGTGAGGCACATAAGCACGAGGAAAATAAATTGAATCAACATTATCACGAATCACAACCAAATGAGGTGAACGCTTTCATTTTTGTACTTCTTATTGCATTATCAAAAAAAAAAATCTGCTTTTTGTGTTATCATCTGTAGTCACTCGACAATACGATTGAGCCGTTAGCTGATTTAACAGTTGAACGAGCCATAAGAGAAGCTTTGTTAGTAGAAAGCAAAAAAGAAGAAACAAACGAAAAGGTTATTCTTTTTTATTAGTTAGTTTAATCTTTTCTAAATCATGTATATCTATGTATGTAATTTTTTTTTCTTTTTATCAATAATTAATCGCTCTAGATTAGTGATTAACGGATACATATTTTGTTTCTATTCTGATTTTCTAAATCTTAATATTTAGAATAGTTTTTCATTTTTCATTGCTAATATTAAAACAGATATGAAACAGGACAGTATCTTTTGATTTCTTTTATCTGCTTTGATAAATCTGTTTTTAGTGAATTCTTTATAAACTTTTCTTTCTTTATATCTCTAGCACCACGATGAAAACGATGAAAATGTTAAAACTTATACTTAACAACGTCTGACAAAAACTTCTTACCTATTCTACTCATCCTTCTTCAATATGTTAACCAAAAAAAACAAAAACTCAACATATTATATGTATATACATTATATTTTAATGATGATGATAATGATCTATTCGAATCTATCATTTTTTTTTCTAATTTAAAAAAGAATATGTTATTACATTTTATTTGTTTTTCCTTCTACATATCTTTATCTTGCGTTCGCTTACAGTTTTTTTGGTTACCTAGACAAATTTTTCGCTATAGGCATCATCTGAAAGTATTGACCAGTAAAATTATGACTCTGGCAACTCCTAAAAATGTCATTTTCATTGGAAAAATATCAATCAACATACGTATCTATGGAATATTTATAGATAATTTTCGGTCATTTTGTTCCTAATTAATACAGAATTTTAAATTAAAAAATTGATAAAACGAGTTTTCTACAAAAAAGTTATATACATATACAGTCAGATATTTCTATGATTATCTCTTTCTCGTTTGAATAAATCAATGTCCTACATAACTTATCATAATACTATAAGCATATATATATATATATATTAGTGTACACTGTGCATATCAAGATTTTCATTTTGAATTAATATTGACCGATGTATGGCAGAGTAGCTTTCCATAATTATTAGATATTTACAAAGGTTTACAAAAAATGCTAAATTCTTTCGTATATAATTATGGTTTTTGCTTACTGGACAACAAATATAGAAAACTACTAAGAACACTTTTAAGTGTATGTGCTTCAAAAATATATACATTTTTATGACAAAGAATAAAATTTAGTAATGAGATCTATTTGAATCGATGTCGCATTATATATGGTCAATAGTTATTGCTACTAAAATATAAAATAGAATTAAACTATTCATTAGTCATATCTTTTTTTTTTAATCTTGGCGTATGATTAATAAATAGTTTTTTTTCATTTCTTCTAATATTATTTTCCTGTTTCAATAAAGAAAAAATGTAAACTTTCGTGCATGATATTTTATCACAATATCGACCAGTAACATTTTGTAGAGGTAGTTACAACAACCATCATTTTGATCGTGTCTCTTTTACGTTCGTTGTTTTTAGAAGCGCCATTCTTATCGTCAACTACGATTGCATTCTCTTTTCTGGATGTTGAGGAAAAAAGAATAACAAGAAAAAATCCGTTACCGTTCTGTGTTCTTAGCAACATGTTGACTGAGTGACACATGCATGCAATCACGCTTATATTTTACTTCTTTTAATGCTCACATAGCTGAGTTCTTTGGTAAATATACATATACTGTCATATTTACGGTGTGGTAAATCATAGCAATAAAAAATTTAAATAATAGGAATATGGGTGCTAACGGAAGTAGCGAAATTCAAGTGAGTTTCAATCGTCCGAATCTTTTCTATTTTGCTGGTGAACAAATAGCAGGCAATATTTCATTTCAAAATACAGAAAATAAATTAGAATTAGATGCAATTTTTCTTGAGTGTGTTGGTGAACTTGGATATTCAACACAGGAAGTGCGTCATCGCCGTGATGCAAATGGAAATCAACAAACTGAGCATTATACGAAATATCATCAAGTACCATTTCTAAAATCTCGTGTTTCTATTGTACAACCTGAATATGGCCAGGTAAAAATTCAACTAAAAGATAAAGAATTTTTTTGAAGAAATTTTCTTTTGAAATTTTAAGCGTGAAATAATTCTCTATCGTGGTCAGTATTCATGGCCATTTCAATTTGTTTTGCCTAATCAATTGCCTCCATCATTAATTCCATCAACAACCACATATCCTTATGTTAAATATTATGCACGTATTGTTCTTGATAAACCATGGTATAAACCAAATGCTAAACAAGTTTATCCATTAACAATTTTTCCTCGTGTTGATCTTCGTTATGTACCAGGGGGACAGCAACAAGTATCTTTTTCAAATGAAAATCGAAAAAAGATTCGATTGCAGGGATATTTAATGCGAGGCGGTATTTTATCTGGTGAAACACTTTCCATTCACATCCGTCTTGACAATCCGAAACGATCAGAAATTAAAAGAATAAAAGCAACATTAATTCAACATCGACAAGTCGCTCGAAGTTATCATGCAGAAACTATATGTCGGCTAGATTTACCAGACTTGCGTGAATTTAATGGTAAAGAATTACAACGAAATTTTGATCTTGTTTTACCCGAGATACGTATGTCACCTACCTATACATACATGTCACAATATTTAAATCAAACACTTGGAATTTCTATCCGCTATGAATTGATATTGGATGTAAAAGTACGTGGATTATTTACTGATTTCAAAGTTAGTATACCAATCATCGTCGGTACTGAACAAATATCAGCTGAACAGCAACCATTTCGACAACCAATAAACAATCCGATTGAAATGCCCACAGCTAGTGCTCCAGTGTTTGACTATGAGGAATTACCACCAAGCTATGATACAGTAGTAATGAATCAGAAAATTTAAAATCATCTATTCAGACTTTTTGTCTTTGAAGTGTACTTTTTCAATCGATGTTTTCTTTTATACATTATCTCGTATGTAAAAACAAATCAAACCAACATAACTAACTTACAATAGTATCATCAGATATCTAAGTAAAATGATCGAGATATCTATTTCAATGAGTAAGTAGAACAATGATCACAATGAACACTTTTGAAATGTAATGCTATTTATTGCATTTTCTACTTATTCGATCGATGATGAGAAATTTGATCAGTAAAGATCTATGTTTAAAATCGACATCGAATTTTTTCAAAATAAAAATCGAATTTCATTTCACCTCTGCGAAGTCATAATACTTCTGCTACTGTGCCACTGAATATTCAGTGTTAAAGTTCATTTTATTCTTTTATTCGAATGTCGACAATACAAATACATCACATAACGATTTGATTCGAAATCTGTTTATCGTTTCTCATCTTCGTTGACTAGATTCTAAGTAAACTAAAAGTTGGTATTATACTTAAATAAATTACGCGATCGCTTCGCTTTTTTTTTACTTCTCACATCTCACATAAAATCAAACAAACAAATTGTGGAGAAATTCGTGTTCGACAAAGAAACTATTCATAACTGACTAATGAAATCAATAATTAATTTACTTAAATATCATTTAGACATGAAAAACATGCACAACTACACTAGGTAATCGATGTCAATGAACGCATTCGTACTTTGATCGATTATGACGAAAAGAGGTCGGTCAAATGCGCACTGTTTAGAAAACTTGTTGCTGTCGATGAAAAACGATCTACCCGATATAGAAGAAAAGAACACAAAGCAAAATTAAATGGATGGGCACACAGTAGAATATCGTGCTGATCCTGAAACCAATAAGTAGTGCAGATAGTCAGCTGACGATTCATCAGACATCCATAATTTTCATGTACCATGATGAATCATTTCGGTTTACTCCGAATGATTTAATCCTCAAACATTTTCAGTAGACATGTATCTTGTTTTCTGAAAAGGAAATGACAATGGAATATAATCTTCAGTTGATTTTCTTTAAAACACAACTTTTCATTTTGTGTTTCCCAGCACGTTATTAGATAATGTTTTTTATCTACGCTTTCTATTTATGTTTTAATAATTGTTAGTAATGCAATCAATAATCGTGAATCGAAATTATCCTTAGTATTCTGCCATCAAAAACTTCTATCTATGGGCCAAATCATTGAAAATGTTGAATCAAAAAATATATGACGTAAAGTGCGTCATCCATTTTTCTCTAATCAGAATTCTGAACCGTCTCTAAACAACGAATGACTGATGCACAGAGCCATTGCAGCTAGATGGAAGTAAGTAGTAAAATACATGCCAAACTCAATCAAAAAAATCAATATTCCAGGAATCGATAAAGCTACAGTAATCAGAATAGTTCTTAGCGATACCAAACACCAAATATACATCAGTAAACGAAGAGATTAAATCAATAATATCCATTGTAATTGTTATTTTCTCTTGATTTATATAAAATGTTCTTTAATGACTTTAGACAGTAAAAATAAATGTTAAAAAAAATATATGATGAGTTAGTATCTGAAAGGCCTGCAAATAAAGTTTTGGAATCCACTTTAGTGGGTAACAATGTGTCTAAGATAGAAGTAAAATTAATGTCAAATACAACAAATCAAAGAGCAAAGCTTCCTCCACAAATAAAAGGTTGCCTATTTATTTTCCGTAATATGATTGTCAAGAACGAAAGTTTTAGTAAGATACAAAGTAACAGTTTTTGCAACTCGTTTGTTTTCGGACTTGCAACAAGAGCTCGGTTATATCTGGGCGTTTAATCTGTGATCTTCGGTTCTAAATACACTTCGTAATGTGAAGTCTTACCCATTTTTATCATACAAAACAATCACTAATAAAATATATACGCTAGACGATATCATTGCTTAGAATGATGTCTACTGTCTAGATACTGATCTAAATCACCTTCAAAACGTTATGCAGGCAAAACGAAGGGAAGGTGTGGAACTAATCGAGATACCTGTCGTTATGACAAGACTGTGAAAGCTTACAGAAATATCACTACAAATCACCATAGAACTAATTTCATATCGGATACAGTCGCATTCTTTGTCTCTACATATGTTAATGTAACTGTCTTCGTTCAAATCTTATTTTAAAACTTTCTACAGACTAACTCATTACTGTTAACCAATGAGTTCTATAGAAATTCGAAATTTAGAGATGGAAACAGCACATAACTCTATTTGAAAATAGAAATTTTAGAATTTCTACTGACCCTCTTAGTGAATCAAAAAATGAGGAACACTTTTGTCTCAAAACTTTCAGCTCTTTCGTTAGAATAACAACTCAGCAGGTAGACTTGATCGTATTCTTATTAGAACTAAAAAGCTTGTTAGCGCATCCACTTTGGGACTAAAATGTGGAACTCACATATATCCCTTCGGCTTACTAAAATAATTCAAAATAATTCATCTGAAAAATCTACCCTGATTTTCAAAACCTATAATTAGATCATTGCCTATTTGCACTTATGTCTGTAATTGAGTATTAATTGTTAGCTCGTATATTTAACAATGGCAGANTGTAATTGAGTATTAATTGTTAGCTCGTATATTTAATAATGGCAGAGACTGGTTTCTATGGTCTGTAATGGGCAAACATTGCTTTTTTTCGTGTAATCTGTAATTGAAAAAGGAAGAAATAGCAGCCTAAATAGTCAAGCTCCTAATTGGCACAATTTTACACTAATTAATGTCTGTAATGGGGAGCGTGGGGGTGGGGAGCCGCAAAAATCTCGCTTTTAAACTTACACTCACCATTTTCTTCGAAAATATATGTGAGTTCCACAAAATAAAACTATTGAGTCACCATGACAAGCAACTTGTCACGCTATACGAAAATCAAATACTAAAATAAAAATAACTGCTATCTATTTTCCAAAGCGCACAAACAACAACGAGTATTCATTTGTTTTGAAAAAAATCCAAGGCAACCATTGCTAATCAGTTCGTGTAACTGTTTCATTAACAAAATGATACAAATAGCTCGAGTTTACCAGACATGAGGTTGCATATCGTCGAGCTAGTTCATCTCAAATTAAAGCATAATAGAGCAGCTACAATAGTATACTATTGCTGTTTGATTACAATAAAAAAATATTTTGACGATAGAAAAATTGTCAACTATTCTTTGTAACAATAATCAAATACTTGATAGCGATAAAAGTTATTTGTGATTGTTTTAACACTGAAAAACTGACCTTCGCTGTATTGATATTTTTTCAGCGACAAGATAATTGACGAAAATATCAAAACAAAAGATTAGTCTACATAGCAAAATAGATAGATATTAGTATAAAGACTCGTTGGTATCGTTTTACGCTAAATCTTTCATTTTTCTCGCATTAAAATCCATGCCTCTATATATTTAATATGTTACGATTGGTTTTGTTTTAATTTGGATCCTTGTTACACTGCAAGATCATGTTATTTTGGGTGGTTGTCACAGCACTTTTGTGTGGTTCAGCAATACAAGCTATTCCATCGGTCTTTTTTATATATCCTCAAAATTTGACACCAACAGGATGCACGGGCACCAATTCATGGACTAAATGGTTCAATTCAGCTAAACCAAGTGGTAGTGAAAATGTTGACAAAGAACTTCTCGCAACAATTCAAGCAGCAAATGGCCGTGACGTATGTGCGAAACCTCAAGGCATTCATGTAGAATCAGTAAGTCCACTTCCTGGTTCAGGTCCTTTTCAAGGATCATGGTCAGTAACGAATAACATTGTTACTGGATTTCAATCAGCTACGGTTGGCCTTGATTTTCAAGTAAGATTTTGTTGTCCTAATACTGATTTCGTCCCGACCACAACAACGACAACAACACCAAGACCTATGCCAAGTAGTACATGTGGTCGAGCAGAGATAAAACATTCAATTGCCAACTCACGAATCTTCGGTGGTTCACATGCTATACCCAATTCATGGCCATGGGTAATTGACAATTCATAGTTATTGCTAAAAAAACAACTATTTTTATTTTTTTTTGTCAATTTTAGCAAGTACTTTATGAGGAAAGAAAACCTTGTGGAACCAACCAAGTTTGTATCGGCTCATGTGGTGGTACTTTGATCGATTCACGTCATGTTCTTACAGCATCTCACTGTATAGGAAATAATAATCCAAGTGCCATAACTATCACAGCTGGTTTACACAATAAACTTAATACTGAATCTACACGACAAGTGAGAGCTGTTGAACGCATCTTCATGCATCCTAATTATAATAACCAAACAATTGAAAACGATTTAACTATTCTTCGATTGGCTCAACCTGTTACATTCAATACATATGTTCAACCAGCATGTTTACCTGGACCGGAGCCAAGTCATGATGAAAATGTTGTTTTGATTGGATGGGGAGCTTTAAAACTCGGCGGAGGTGCCTATCATGAATTGAAACAAACTCAAGTTAAAGTTATTAGTGAGTGTAACAAATTCTGGGGTCAAGTAGATGAAGATAAACAAGTTTGTGTTGGACATGCTGCTACTGGTGATTCAGCTTGTCAAGGTGACAGTGGCGGTCCGATGTTGTACGAACGTAATGGACAATGGATTGTATCAGGTGTAGCTAGTTTTGTCTCTTCGAGTGGATGCACAACATACTCGAATTCTAGACCTAATGTCTATGTTCGTGTATCCGCTTATTTACCTTGGATCAAGAGCATTATTTAAAATACGAATGCACTTGTTGAACATTTGTTCGTTACTAAAATAAAAAGTATGATAACATTGATTTAGCTAATTTTTAGAAAGAATTACAGTGATAAAACTAAATCATTTTTAAGTAAATAAAAATCTTCACTAGTAAATCGATAGGATATATCAGACAGATTATTCATCAAATAGATTAATGAATGTGACAAAAAAAAACTATAGCTTTGGTCGGTTGCTTTTCACGAATTGAAACTGAATGAGTTTATAATACAGATATCATTGTCATTCAACAATATTCGTGGGGTAATCTATGTCAAATCAAAGAAGTACGTGTTTTTCAATTACATCTATAGCAACAATTGACACTTGTTCTAATTGCAATCATAATCAAGCATCAAAATGTAAACTAAAAAATACTTCAATCAGTAAATATATATGTAAGTTTTTCAATATTGAAAAAATTTGATAATCATCCATGAAATCTAAACTTTCAAATGATCTGAGTCGGTTTCATTTCTACTATATAGAATAAGTAAAATATCATGAAATGAAAACGAAATCTAATCACGTGGAAAACAACTCTCAATAGTTATTATATTTTATTGTCTTTATATTATTTACAATTTAATAAGCAACAAAAAAAATTCATATACATATTTTATTTATGTCTGACTATTCATTTCGAGACATTTGTCGTGTGGTAATCTATTCATTAGTTATGACGGTAGGTTGAATTTGCTTGTTCGTCGTGCTGGCAGACGAAACGATGGTGTACGATTTTCTTTACCCAATGATGAAGTCTGAAAAGTAAAATATTCATTATAACCCTAATTACAATAGAAAAAAAATATTACTCTAGATTTATTAGAAACAACTGATTCTGCTGACGGTGATATTGGAGTAGGTTCTTCGTGTTTTAGAAATTTTTCAAATCGTAATCGCCATGGACTTGTATCTCGACTGTTTGTCTTTGCTGGTGTTATTTGATTGTGCTAAAGAAACACGATACGTATAAATTCATGTAAAATTCAAAGATAAGAAAAACTAACAACAATCGAAGTTGTGGTATTTGCTTGTTTATTTTTCATTGGTGTATAATGTTTTTCTAAGCGTTGAAATGTATGAGGCATTGTCGGTGTAAATGATGGTAAAGCACATTTAATGCCTGAATATTTCTCTACATTATATAACGATCGAATTGAAGTACGACGTGGTATAGTATTAGATACGCTTGTACTACATTCACTTGATCTAGAGAAGAAAATAGATTGTTCGGCGTTCCTTTGTGCTTTAATTCTATTTACCGATCAGAAATTGAATCATGAAATTTAGCTCGATTATCATCTTTGGATTCTGAGAAATTACTATGTAAATCAGATGATTTGACGATTGAACTTGAGAATTTTCGTCGATCTAACTCAATTTTAGTTAAATGTAATGATGATGCACGACGAATCGTTGTTGTTATTTGTGGTTTAACAGGCGTTAACAATGCTTCAGATCGCTTGACAATTGTAGATAGATTACTAAATAAATAGATTGAACATATTTTCGAAAACATCGATCTAAAATATGTTTACTTCACAATATCTTCAAGGTCATTTGAATGTTTTATTGAAAATAATTGGGTATCCCTTCGATTTTCTTGGTATTTTGTTTCTTTTTTTGTTGTATTTGGAAGAATAGATGCGCTATTTGCGAAGAAAATAAGAATTCAAAATAGCATGGATTAAAAAGATAACTATACCATTTTGTCTGCAAACGAGACGGTAGTTTTGGTAAAACAGGTAATGGAGGTATAACCGTCGAAATGCCACTGCTTTTAGATGGTACCGGTCGTGCGAAACTCATAGTTATTAATTAAAAAAAAACGATATATATATATATATATAAGTTGATTAGTTTCTATCTATCATATAAGATGATCGTTTGAACAATAGTAGTAGGTCTTTGTTCGCGGGTATGTCTTCTCTGTTAAGCTGATTTATAACATTATTATAAAAAGAATATATGCCCTCAAATATTATTTCATTTTTAAATGAAGTAAATTATAAAGATATGATTATAATAGATATTTTCATTATAGATGTCACTGTCTTTGTGCCATATCTACCCATATATGTTACACTATATCTATAAGAAGATTGTAAAAATTTAAACGAAGATTCGACTATCCGCTGGTAGATAATCAAAAAAAAAACAGTAGACATTTACTAGGCCTTTTTCTAAAATAGAGTTTTCAACTTTGTATCTGTGAAGGCCATTTTTATTAAAATCGAAAATCGAAAATGTAGCATGCAGACATCATCAAAAGTGAAATAACGATAAGATTAACACATCAAGTAGTATACTTATCAGAGCTATGCGAAACAGCTATCTTGATGTTATGAACAAGAGTGAACAGAAGGCCTAGTCACACATCCATATGGTGAACGGGCGAGCGCTCGCTCACACCGAGACAAATTGAGAACTAAATTATGAGCCATGGAAATTTCAATTGTCCTTAGAAGTGCATGCAATCAAATGAGAGTTCTCTTCGATTTCAAAATACTTTTATTTAAAACCAAAAGTAGAAAAAAATTGACAACATAGTTTTAGATTCCATCTTGTTGGTTTTACAGACCTTTGAACTTGTTCTTCGATGAGACCAATTAGTCGTGTTACTTCAGTTAACGATACATTTCTTCCTGTCCGTCTTAATGAATCTTCTTGCAATAATTCAAGATTTTTTTGTGGTGAGTGCTTTGATATATTACTCAAACGAATCAAGTCTGAACCTTTGTAGCCTGATAAAACATTTCCCATTTGTGAAAGATTGTTGTCAATTAACCATTGTTTAACATCATTTTGTGTCCATTGATAAATATCTGTTGAACGTGTGTTTGATAAAGAATTGGTCATATACTGTGGTTGTCGACGTATAACAAGAGTACTAAGAACACTTGTATGTGGAATATCTAATTTATCTAATAGGATTTGCATTGCGTTAGGAAAGTCATGCTTTGTAAAGTCTATTGGAGATAAACCGTGTATAAGAAATGAAAGCCAACCATTTGGTTGATAATAATTTTCGATTATAATTGGAATTATTTTCAATTTTTTATTATAAGCATATTCTATTTCAGCTCGACAATAGTTATTTTGCTTATAACTTTTGCTCATACAAATAATTACTAAACGAGATTGTTCAACGCTGTTAACCATGGTATCTATTAGATTAGAATTTTTCTGATGAAAACTCTCACATACACGATAGGGTTTCTGAACAAGTTCATCATGCAATTGCTTATATATTAATCTATCTTCTTCAGAGTAACTTATAATTATATCAAATATTTTTTCATTATCATTAGTATTTAATTTGATTTTATTAAAATCTAAATTCCATCGTATTCCATCAATAGCATTTTGTATTTGTTCATTTATAGAACTATTTGCTAATTTATTCATGAATGCTTGATTTAAACGAAGGTGATCTTGAATACGTGCATCGAATGACAAAGACCATAAAATATCGTAAACAATAGGATATGTATCAGATATTTTAAGTAAAAAGTTTAGCTCATCTAAACCATTGATTGGATGTTTCATATTAGTTTTCGATAAATTCAAAAAACCTTAAAATAAGAAGTAAATTAAAAATTATATAAAAATAAGTTTGATTTACCGTCTAATAATTCTTTCATGGATATATTTTTATATTTTTGTAATGGATTTTTCCATGCTGGTTGAAGATAATTAAAGAAAATTTCTTTTATGTTATTAGCAACATTAGAATCTTTCATTTGATCTTCAGAAAGAATTTCATATTGAAGACTATACAATTGTAAACTAAGTCGATCATTGTTCGTACGATCCAGTCTTAGAAGTGCTTTCATTAATTTATTTTCTGAACGAAAAAAATTCATAACATCTTGACAATTTTTCAAATAGTTCAATAACCCGAGAATATTATCGATCAACATTGATTCATCATTTCTTGTCTGATCAAGAATTTGCTCATGGAACGGCCGATAACAAAGAATTTTAATTAACGACGTAATTAAGTCATTTATAGACTTTTCGGGAATAGCAAACATTTCAAGAATCTCATATTTAGGACCAATCCAAGAGAGACAGGCAGTAATTATACCAATCAAATGTGTAATACATGAAAGTAATTCTTTACTCCATGATGCTATTGTATCGCTATGAATATGAATAATATGTGTATAGTCATGAGCAAGATATTCTAGAATTTGTTCACCATTGTAAGGAAAACTACCAGGTTTCGAAAATAAATATTCACTTAGCAAACAAGGACATATTTTTATGTAGAAAATTTCCTTCGTTGTAAATAAAGGATTCGGATATTCTAATTGATTTAGATATATTTTAAATTGATCATTCATGATAATATCCGACATAATACGTTGATTGATATAACTTATTATATGTAAAGAAGTAAGTTGTGTGTGTTCATAAATTAATAATGAAAGATTATCAAACCATTGATAAACCATTAACAATAAACGATCATTTTCGTCTGTTCGCTTTTTGATTTGTTCAAATACTCCATCAATAATATCAATAGATGCTGGAAGAAGAAAAGATTCTTTTGTGTTGAGAATATGATTACTTAAAATTAGTCTTTCATTGAAAGATGCAAGATTATGAAATACGTCAAAATATTCTTGTTCATCATCATTCCACGATCGACAATCTCTACTTAATATTTCCCATGCCCAATGTTCCAGGGAAAATAATGGTTCAAAAAAATTAGAAATGATGGTATCTAAATCATTATTTTGTGTTCCAATAAGAAAAGATGAGATTTCACGAAGTATGTCGTTAGAAGGAGCAATAACAAGTGTCGAGATAAGTTGTTCAATGTTGATATCTTCCATCGATTCAAAATCTGATAATTGATTTCGATTATAAGTATTAAATTGAAAGAGCAACAGTTATTATTCTTTTTTTGTAGATCGACGGAAGGAAAGGAATGAAATAAGTTCTCTTTATTTTTTAACGGTCATGTCCCATTTTTCGTTGTATTTTTCCGATTAGTCCCAAGAAAAATATGCATACAACTATCGTCATTAAATATGTAATTTGCTTACCTCTTAACGAAATCAGGATGTATATTATCATAAATCAATTGATATTTAAAAATAAAATTTACATTAGAAATTAGTTATTTTAATTATGTATTTTTTATTCGGTGGAAAACAGGAATCTTATAATCTCAAAATCTAAATGTGACTCACTTTACTACACTTTTATTTGCTATATGATATTGTGATCAGAGGCTTTAATTACATTGAAAATGATAATTCACATACACTTTTATTGTAGCCAGTATGTCATTCATTCTGGTTGTAATCAGTTCTTTTTTATCAAAAAAGACAAACGTTTTCTAATTATTTGCGACCAACGTATTATTCATCTTCTTTCTTAAAAACAAATATTAACAGTATCGTGATGATTATTCACGTTGAAATATATTCAAGTTTCTCAATCGGAATAAATTGTATCAAAATCATGCTGAAATATGAAACATATGCCATTCTAGAAGTCATTTGTTTTTATTAATTAGAGATTTCTGCATTGTCTTTCATTTTGTTTTGTGTTGAAGATTTCGTACGATATATTTTTTTCTATTTTCAAAACTAACACAATAATCAATAATGTATACATGTTTAATTAAATAAATATAGCACTTGCCAATCTCCTATTAATTCTTTGCACATATAGAAAAGAAATGCATCGGTATAGACATTTGTTTCCTCTGTAAGTGAATATGTCACTCGTCATATTTAGCAAAAGAATCTGCTACATAGAGAAATCGAATCAAAGTTTGCTCGTGTGCTCAGCTTTGACTTCGTCGCAAATCCTTTCATGTGCATGATAGTTAAATACAGGATTAAGAATGGATCTAAAAGTATATTCAAAAACAAAAAAACGCACGCCTTCTCAGCCATCAATTGATCGTATTCATCACTCTCAAACCGAAGAAAACGAAGAAGAAAAAAAATACAAAAATAATCATTAAACGTACAATGAAGAACAGTTTGAAGTCATGTTTGCATCTATCATGATTCTATTTTAGACTTATTACGTATATTACTTTGAAATTTGTCACTTAGTTATTTTTTTCATAAATAATCAAGACGCATCGAGACTATTTTTTTCATACACATAATTACATTCATAATTAGTTCATCACTTTCAAATTGTTATTTATATTGCAAGTTAAATATCATTCTATATTCACATACGGATACCGAAAATGATTGTTATTGACTGTTTATTACTAATTAGTTATTTGTACTTACATCTTTTCACTGACCTATTTGAAAAATTCAATCGTAACTAGATTTGCTCATTGATTCATGGATGTGACTGCATTTTAGTTAAAGATTGAGTTTCATCTTAACAATATGACGTTGGTTACATATCAAATATCGCATTCTTTTCTTTGAGATTTCTTTTTTAGAATTTCTCTCTCGTTTTTGGCCGTAAGAATCTATATAAGAAAAGTCATTTTCAATTAAAAGACTACATTTTCCTTTTCTTCTTTGTTTGGCAACATGCATACAACGCTTTTTGTTCTTCGCTGCTTTTGACAATTTCATAAACGACGGCATGATAAGGTGTTTTTTTTAAAGAAAATGGAGTTTTCTTTGCTTTTTCTATCATGAGACCATCTGAGCATTCAATTAGACATCGATAGTTAGCAGACATTTTTAAAGTCTACCCTTTTATTATTAAATATTGCGTACGTACAATAGCGTATAAATAACAAGCAAGGTTATCTCACTAATTAAGTAAGAAAGTAGAATTTGATATGTTTATTTTCTATCTGCGTTTTTCATTTTTTTTCCTTTTACACACTGTCATCTGCTATTTCCTTGATAAATTGTAGTACAAAAAATGGAAAAAAAAGCATAGATTGTGAGTAAATAAAACTATTCAACATTTTCGTTTAGTCGTCGAATAGACCAATTAAATTAAAGCATCTTTCTATTTCGATCAACACCGTGTTTTATCTGTCGACACTGTTCATACATGGAACTCTGATGCGAACGCAAGCTTCCAATTCAATTATAATTGCAACATACATTCATAGCATCATCGTCCTCTCCGAGAGCACGACTAGTAAAACATCCCTAGACTATTTTTCATCCGCTCGCTCCAAAGTATGTCTCTCAATGCGTGAGAGAAAAAAGAAAGAACTGAGAAGAAAAAAAGAGACAATACATCTTTCATTCATATCCTGCTTGCTTATTCGTGGGTAGACAGAACAACAATGCTTGGTCGTTTTTTAAATCTATTAACAGATTTGCGGATGTAATAGCAGAAGTTTTAGTGCCTGTTGCAGAATAGAACAGACAAAAGAAAAACAGGAGTCTATAACGAAAGGGAAACATTGTTAATTAAGTTGATCATTATAATGATGATGGAAAATGAGAGGAGACAGAGACTAATAGAGATAATTCTGTCTCTGTCTCTTTTTTCTCTAGGCTCCCAGCGGAGGAAAATGAAAATCTCAGAATTTATACTCGTCTAGCTAGTTCGGCAATATGAGAGTGCGTCGTTCTTATCAATTTTTTTCTTTCTTTTTATGTGACACTCAGTTTATTATGGTGAGAAAAACGCGGAAAGAGATGGAGCGAACTAGAAAGAAAGACAGACAGAGAAAGAGAGAGAGAGAGATAGAAGAGTGGAAGAGTGAAAATGCGAACTGTGCAAAACAGTCAAGCAGGCTCATGCGAACAAATGTCTTATTAAATAGAGTGAACCGGCACTAGAAGCGTAAACGCAATGATGGAAAAAGAAACGAGAAAAGAAGAACTGTTACAAAAAAAGAAGACTAAGAAAAAGGAAAAACGAGTAGAGTTATAGGAAAAAAGTCCTCCATGTTTCACTAGATTTTCCTCACACGCACACCTATTGTAAGTATCATATAAAAGTTAACCAGAATTACAGCATTGGTATGGTTAACAATAAGCGTCGTTATTCTATTATAGAGAAGAGAAAAAAAGAAGGAAAAAAACGGAGAGTATGCCAAGTAGACTCTCAAATAAATGAGATCCTGTCAGTTGTTCGAATATCGTCGATCTACCCAAAAAATGCATCTGCCGAGAATTCTTTTTTTTTCTGAATTTGATAATTGAGCGGTCCTTCGTTGTTTTTCTTCTTCTATTTACCCTTCTTTAATATCTATTTGTTGTACTCTTTCACTGTTTGTCGTTTGAAGTAAATATCTTGCTTTTTCTTTATTTAAGAAAGAAAAGAACCGATAAATATTAGATATATTCTACTCTAATAGTGTATCATTATTGTTATTATTATTAATCGAGTAATTTTTCTTAGCTTCTGAATAACAACACTTTTCTCAAAAGATTATAGCTTTCTTTAGAGACTCGTTCTATTGAGAGAACTACGATAGTAAATAAATTTTGAACAAAACAACACATTACGGATATTATACTCAGAACTAATAAATATTTAATCGTAATAGTGTTACCTACCATTTTTTTTCTTCATTAAAATATTTTCTTTTTCTTGTTTTGATAAACAATACAACATTTTTCTCTTATGGACATCAAGGATAAGTTCAATTTTGCATAATACTCTGCACATCCATGTATTTTAATGAAAATTCTTTCTAAATGTTTCCATGCGGTCTATGCAAAACAATGTCTGTGTTAAATAGACAAAATTGGGAGACTAAATAAAAAAATATATTTAGTAATGCACTCATTTTTCAATATCTTTTATTCTGTAAATATGTGGAGCGGGTGCGCCCGACTGCCTATGACTTTTTATTTGTGTTACTGCTTAATGACAATCATAATGATGATAAAGAGGAATGATTATGATGCGTGTGTGTGTGTGTGTGTGTGTGTGTGTATGGGCATGTGTGTGCGTGTGGATGAGAAGTTAAGTCTTGTATTTTATTGCTACTCGCATTACTTATGATTTGAAGGGACTAAAATTCATCTCTCTTCTTTCATTGACACGCCGAGTATTTTTCTCACTCTCACTCTCACTCTCTCTTTTTCTTTTTGATGTGGTGCACCATCACCGCTACTATAGAAGGATGACAACAAACAACGACAATAGGAGTAATAACAAGAGCGATTCTCCGCCATCACTGTTGCTGGCTCCGTCGTTTAATCATCATCACTTTGTCTCGTTCGGGCCCGACGCTTCTCCGATCGCCGAAGTTACTACTGTCGTCTACTCGTCGTGTTCATTGTTCTCGACGCTGTAGTCGTACCACCATCGTCACCACTACTATTACTACTTCCACTGCGACTAGTCCTGCTGACATTCACGATTTCTATCTGCCTCTACTCTTCTTTTCCTTAAAAAAAAAGCGCACCAAATTTCTCTTCCTAAACCAACGTGGACTATTTATTATACAACTACCAATGAATATCAATTGGACAATCCTTTTTTCTCTTCTTTTTCGTTATTCTCAGCCAACGACAACTGTGAATTTGTAAACATACAGATAGAAACACAGCAAATAATCATCAGAATACAAATACTATGGGCTGCACTCAGGCTAAAATCGAACCAGAAGCACTGACACCAGACGATACGAGAATCATCAGAGAAACATGGAAAATGGTAGGCAGAGAAGCCTATGGTGAATACGGCCAACGGCTCATGCTCAGGTAGGTCATCTAGGAAGACTATCATATTTAAAGAAGGAATTCTTCAAATCTATTAGAATGGAGAAAATAAACAGCTTAAAAAGGAACTTTTATGAGTTTTTCAATCTATATATCATTTTTTGTTGACTTCATGTCTGAGAACAAAGAAAAGAAATGAGATAGATCGATGACATTTGCTATGTGTCGTTACCATTAGAAACAACGACATAAATGCATTCATATTTATTGTCTACCTTTTCTTTTGTTCTTCACAAATTTATTTTTCTTAATTTATCTTTATCTTTTCTCTTATCTCATGCTTTTCAGTATGAGAACTAAAATTGAGAGTAAAAACAATTCCACTACTATCATTAATAAATTGAAGATAACGAGAAGAAAAAAAACTTATCATATCAATAATACTGCAAACAAGAAAAACTGATTTATGTAAAACACGCGACATATGTTCGCGCATGACCATGAAAGGTTCAATCAATTCCTGATCATGTTTATCATTTCATTTGTCTGATGATGATAAAGAGGAAATTGTTAATAGTTAGCTATGCAGAGTAGTTTGAGTTTGTTCGGTCTATCTATCTATTTGCATAGCACTTGTGCATATTCAATGTGAATGTCACTCTTCGCATCGGCTAGGGGACCAAGCGTCAATCAATACTACTTGGATGATTCGATCGATACTTTCCTTGCTGCTACGATATATATATATATATATATATATTACTTTTCTATGTCCGTCATGTGCGGCAGTTGGAAACTAATATCATGTAGATTAATTCACACTTTGCGCGTCATCGAACACACGCTACAACGCCTGTTTTGTTTTCATTATTTTTCTGAAAAGCGTTGCTTGGTATTACAAAGAACAGCAAGAACAAGAGAGAAAATACAGACATGTAGAAACACACAAGAAAACGATTAGTTTCAGAATTATAATTGATTTATATTATCCGGAAATAAAGTAGATCATGATGCGCCATGATTGATCTAAAAGCAAAAGATCAATCTCTTGTTTCCTAGAATGATATAACATATAGATAACATGTAGTGCCTATATATATATAATTGATCACTTTGAGCTACCTTAATTAGAAAATCTTCGGAAGAAAAGAAAACATTGGGATAATACGTGTATATTTTCTTTTAGGATTTTCCAAAAATGCCCAGATATAAAATCATTATGGCAAAATCCCCGTGTAACCAACAATGCAAATGCAGCAACAACAACAGCTGCCGCTGTCGGCGATGATACAGACGCTCCTAATACAGCAAATCGCTGGAAAATGGATCTAAGAAATCATGGCTCAAAATTTTTTAATTCTCTCGACGATCTAATTAGTGTTGTTGACAAACCTGATGAACTATTTAAAATGTTACATGACATTGGTTCTCAACATCATAATTATGAAGTTAAATCAGAACATATCCAGGTATATCTTTCATTCTAATATGTTTTTTGTTTTATATATTTATTTATGCTTTTCTTTTTAAATTTAATTAGGCTATTGTGGATGGTCTTAACCATACAATGGAATTTGGCTTAAGAGATAAATGGACAGATAATCGACAAAAATCTTTCGGACGATTAATTAACATAATTGTTATACGTACAAATCGAGCATTGACTGGTAACGAAAAGTGATGTCGTTCTAGTTTTTGTTTTCTCTTTCTGTCTTTTTCCCTTAATGCTACTGGTTTCTCCGTCCGCTTATTACTCTTCCTTTCCATTTCTTTTACATGTATAAAAGAATGCCTAGCACACAGATCCCGCATTGAGTATCAATGATTCTTACGTTTGGTAATCGTATTAAAATCGAACAATCATAATGATAGAACGTCTATGGAACTATCAATATTCTAATGTCTAACAAAGTAACCTGCTGGCCAGGTTGTTAATTGTTCTTTATCTAATTGATTCTTTTTCGTATATCTCTATTTTATTCGTATGTTTTTTCTCTTTTATTATTATTATTTTTGTGCATGATCTTCACAATTCTTTCTTATTACTATATCTTTATTGTCGTCGTTGTCATTTTGAGTGCCTTTGTGTATTCTTAAAGATTTTTTGCGCATGTATGTTTATTTTGGAACAAAATAGACCACTTATGAGAAGAACGGAACACGCAAATTTTTTTTCTTTGTCATTTTTTGTTTATATAACTTCTAGAAAGCGTCTGAAGGTTGCATCATGAAATATATAATGTACATTGATATATTTTTGAAATGAAAAAAGAAATCTTTTATTTAACAAAAAATAAATAAAATTATCGCCGTGAATGATATTAAAGGTAGAAAGCTTTTTTGAATCTAAGTAGAGATAGTTCCAAAAAACAAATGGAAACGAATAGGATGGAAATTTTGAACAAAATATTTGTATCTATGAAAAAGAATAGTAGTAGCACGATATTGTTGAATAGTGCATTGTTTGAAGCATGACAATGATTGCAAGTAAAAGTCAAAAGTGACTAATTATTTCTTTTGCTCAACTTATAGAAGTTGGAGAAAGAACCTATTGTATAGTATCATTTTCATCTAGTTGCTTAATCTAATTAAAACAAAATGAAACTTTTTAAATATTTCATATTTTTTCTTTTTCAAGGAGCAATGAGCCCTCTTTAACACAGCTTCATCATTATCAAGATTTTATGCGTATATTTGTATTCTATAATTATTTTAAAGTGGAACTTAGCAATCAAATATTATCTTTACTTTATATTACAATTTCACCGATCTTATATTAATGAAGTAGCTATATCATAAAAAGAAATGTTGCTTTTTAATAGTAATGAATCATGGGAGATACAGTATAAAATAAGATATTCAATACAGATGATTTATCTAATATTTCATGTAATCATAAATTTAAGCGAGAGAAAATGGGATTTTTTTTCTATAAGTATAGAGCTTTAGTTGTATTGATATGCTGCAATCATGCATAGGATCTGATGAAACTAACAGAAGCCTCACAGTAGTCATGTCTATGTCTTATTCATTTGAGATTATTATCGCCTGATTAAATTTTCGTACTGTCGACTTAGTATTGGTAGAAGATTGTTCGACAAGCTGTTCATACATAGTTTTCTGTATAGACATATCTGAAACCATCAAAACATTTTAAAGTTTGCAGTTTAAATCAATCCTCTCTCAAGATATCGGCTACTGAAAAGCAATCGATTTTGAGTGTTTTCTTCTGAGGTTACATCATCATCTGAATACTTTACATATTTCTCAATAACAAGTATTCCTTTGAGTTGCAATTTTTCTAAAATTTGGATTGGTTTGCAAACTGTTTATAGGCGAAATTTGATGTTCCTTGTCCTTCACACTGTCTTTAATGAATACTATTCATTTCGACAAAACAAATAAACAATGAAGAAATCATTCATTCATATGAACGAAACCTGATTATTAATAATTTGAACCGTCTAATAGTCTTGTCAGATTCTATTAATGAATAAAATATCAATCAAAATTACCAGATGACTCTACGAATCATTCTTTGCTGCCATCCACATATTCTCTTATATTATGATGACCAAATAGTATTATCTTGTATTTTTACTATATTCATTAATATTCGATACATAACTTTTTATCTGTTTAATATTTACAATGTCACAAGATCTATGGAAAATCGTCGCAATTTTTTTTTTCTTTTTAGATCGTCTCTATTTATTAGAAGCTCTTAGCCAAGTTATAAGTTCCAGATGTATTTTTAAGACGTGAATAAATATAAAGATTATATACATATTGTATGGATTTTTACATAGATACAAGAGTCGACTGTGAGAAAAGTGTCGAACGAGCTTTTCCAACGAAAATTTAAGAATTTTAAAATTTCCAATAACATTTCTAAAGCTACTTTAATTGTCTCAATAGTGTCATTGATACGTGCCGTAAAAAGTTTTACAACTAGAAACATTTCGATAGTTTCGTTGATTTTCTATGATTGAATCAATTGATTATTGAAACGCAGATTCCAAGCAATCATAAATTGAAATCTTTTTGTCAATAATCTTGCAAAATAAATTAGATTCTATTCGGTTCAGATCTATTTTGTTTATTTACACTAAATAGTAAACATTTTATGTAATATTAAAATGCTATATGATGTTTAAAATTGCTTCAATTTCATGATGACAGTAAACGTATCCCAATAATTATTGATTTCTGCGAATTTGGATATGATCTTAGAAAGAAAACATTTTGACGATGCTATTGAACATTTTAACCTTGAAAGTCTCGTCACATAGAACAAAGAATATTTTAGCGAAAATTGAAGTTGAAACTTCGCAAAATATTTTTCGTAATTAGTCACTGAAAAAATCTCATCGTCCATTACATAAGATGATTTCGAGAAAAATCTTTTCAATCGTAGTAAAATAAATTTCGCACACTGATATTTTTAACACAGCATTTCTCTGTAGATTAGTCGATTGCATTAAAATATGGACAATTAAAACATTATTTTATTTTGACTTTTATTTACCATATTTTCATTGCAAGAATAAGTATGATAAGATCCAGTTTATCGAAAGTAAATTAAGAATATCTATAATCCAAAAAAAAACAGATTTTCTTTTGTGATGAGACTTCGGAAAATATCATATTTATTGGATTGAAAACGAAGATAATATAAAATGAATATTCTACCAGCAAAATACTTTGAAGAAAAACGATGGCAAATAATTAGACTTAGTTTTTATCACTCATACGTAAGTATTAGCATTCTTTGAACATTAATATTGATATAATAGACTGACTTGTGGATCACATTCACTTTGATCTATTTTCAATATACTCTCATGCTCAAAGGACTAAGTCGAATGGCTTATCGGACCGTTTAATCGTATGAAATGTTAAACAAACCAAGATGGTTATTCAGTAGAATATTTATTTCATCTCAATATATCACAATAAAAAGTTGAAAATATCATGTGTAGTAATGAAATCAAAACAAACAAAGTTCAAGAAATAATGGATGATAAATAGACAGATAATAAAAGAAATTCTGATATTTAGAAGGAGCTTTTAACAGTGTATGATTGATCATAGTATTTTGCAACTATCAAAATATTTATTCTTGTCAGTAAATGCATAATATTGCTTTTTATGCATCTAGAAGAGTACACGAGTGATGTTGTGAACCTCGAAATTTTCAGTAGTTTAATAAATCTTTTGCTTGATATCAAACTCTTGGTCACACCAATTAGGATAGGGATTTCATTTTTTTGGGATGCTCAAGTACTCTTTCTTTTCATTTCGCGTATTTATCAATAATTTCTTAGAAAAATAAAATTCTGAGTATGAAACCTAATAACGACGATCAACGTCACTCGAAAAATAGTTCGGATATCTGGTAAAACTATCGAAGATATCTATAGTAATTATCGTTTTCATTACTAATATTTTATTGACCCGATAAATAAATTATTTTAATAACCATTTCAATATCATACTAGATAGCATATTCTTTATCTTTTCTGTACTAAAATGATATCTCTCAAATGAAATCTATGATTATTCTTTAAAAAGAATTGAATATTTTTTCATTGTAAAAGGTGTCCCATGCATTGTAATTGGAAGAGTAGCTAAAACTATCATCTTTAATATTTTTGTTTTTTTCGCCAAAGCCTTTTCTACACATCAAACATCATAGATTTATTACTACTGATGATTCGACTCATTCACACATCATTTTTTCGCTAATCTTAACGAAAAAATATTTCAATACATGGGATGACTCTCATGTGACTTTTTGAAAATCTATAATCTATTTGCAATTGATTCATCTTTTGCTAGCTAAAACTGCCGAAAAAACTGCTTGTCATTTATTGCACAGGAACAAGTATTTGAGTTTTAACTGCCCATTTTTCTTTTATATAAAGAATACTTCACTTAGTGTACAATGCTCAGCTCAGAGATAATTTTAGTTGGATTTGTAAGTTAACACTTTATTTATGTAATGCGTCTGTTATTCTACCAAACAATTATACAAATTATTTTTTATCAATTGATCTATATTTATTTAGCTAGTTCGCCTAACCCACATTGGTGCCAATGGGATACAAGAATAATCAATATGATTCTCACCATCGTCAATTTTCGGTTTTGATGTTTAATCAGTTTTCAAACTCCAATATCCTAAACTATTAAAAATCATGTTCGCATCATCATGATATTGGATAGAGCAAAATAAAGATAGGAACATGAGCAACTACCGATACTGTTTTAAATATTTCTTTCAAAGATATTTTTAAGCAACATTAGCTTTTTTATATATTTTGTTATACAAAAGTTACACGACCACGATAAAATCAGAATTATGTTTAATTATTGTATTAAATTTGAAAAAAAACGATTTGTTATCTTATTTAACTGGAATTTTCTTGAAAACTTTATAGATATACTCCAGCATCATTATGATTCAAATGTGAATTTAAATCAAATAATTCGACAGAAATCATTAAATCAGATATGACAGACATATAATGCGAGTAATTATTCCAATAAATACAACAAAACGATGAATATGAAACTTGATATAGACGATAACTAATCGTAGTGCTTGCCATCTTATTATTTCTTTATCGTATGTTGGATGTATGATTGCATTTTCATGTATTGTCAAGTAAAGATGATTTGATTTGAAGTAAATACAATTCCTGTATAGGTTTAAGATTTCGAAACATCGAATAATATACAAGAGAATATAAATGCTTGTTAATGATTAATCAAATAATGATAACATTTAATACTATATGAACAAACAAAATATTTATTATATGGGATAGTTTTTTTTCTTGTAAACTTGACATGCACTTATTTTATTCATTTATGTAGTCATGTTACACATAGAAAGTGTATACACTTCTGCATTCATTCATTAAAAAAACATTTTTTTCTATAAATTCCGAATATTTCAATTGACGAAGTAATGAATAGCTCGCATGGCTGCAGATATTTAAATCACATATATCCCAATTGATATTGAGAAGGATTTACTAGATTTTTAAGAGACCTTTTTTTCTTGACTTGCTCCCTATCGATTGTTACTCAACAAATACAAGATCATATTCGTATGCATGATACGATTACTTAAAATATGATTTTTAAAATTGAGACTACGCTTATGTAAGGTAGACATTACATAAAGAATTATTCTTCTAAAAATCACATAATCTTTCCTATTGACACTTACGTTAGAGAGTTTCAAGTAAATCATTTATTTGATTGCCTCAAGAGAGTTGGACTTGTGACCGGTCGAGAAATGATAAAGATAATCGAAATTCATCAGAAGAACGAAGGAGGAACGGAATCCTCTTCGCTTTAACAGTGAATTTGATGGCATCAATAGTTTCTCAACCAATCGGAAAGTGCTTCTTAGTGATCTTTTAATTGGCAAAAAGAAATCATTTTATCTTATTAATCCTTTCCAGCTCTTTCTACTACGATACTCAATTATCGTAGACGGTTAAAAATAATATACGAAGCACAAAAGTATATTCTGTTTGATTATTACATCGATAATTCGTCATGCAAACGTTTATAAATACATTGACTTGCAGATTTTTCTATTCTTTTCTAGCTTTCAAAATAAAACCATCAATTTATCACTAGCAAGAGGTATGCGTGATCGAATATGTTCACATGATTAGAATTCGAATCTTATGAACTGTCATATTATGTAAATTTATATCATTTCTTTTCTATCGATTATATTCTTCTTGAACAGTCAACCGTCTGTCATAGTTGAAGTTTGTCCTGTTGGATATTATCGTAATATGACGTTAAGTGTTACCCCATAACTACACACAGTGGTCGTGTTTAGTGTCCTTGAAGCACCATGACGTACTCAATGCAAAATTGATTTTTATCAAATATCTCCAAAAAGAAAGCTTTTTGAAAAGAATATCCATTAGGTAAGAAGTTCGTTTTATCGAAGATTTGAAAAAAACAAAGTTTGAAGTGTGATTGAAAATATCAAGTGGAAAATTATGCCAGAATTATTTTAATCGACTGAACAGTGCTTTTTTAAAATACATTCTGGAGAGTCAATTTACACTAATCGAGAGTTTTCTTTCTAATTAAGAATTCTCTTGTATAAATGTCGCCCAATCATCGGTTTCTTGTGTTTAAGACATTGCTAAATTATCGAGAGGATAAAATTCTTGTGTGACCTAGAATTTCAATTATTATACACTCATTAATCGTAGTACACTATGTGCACGATACATGGAAAAACATGACTTCACAAATAATCTGCTGCTATCAATTATAACACGTATGAGAATTCAGTAGTCAAAGATGATATCAAACATTTTTTTGTGAGAGCTTATGGTAGTTTTCGACAAATTCTATTTAGAAACTAGGTAAAAGACTATCGTACAGTTGAGAATGGCTTGACTTCTTGCGTGATTCGTACAGTAGGTAAGTAAAATCGTGATGCTGTTAATTATCAAGATGATCCTCATTCGATACGGAGCGCTGCGTATGTGTACAGATATAGAAGTGATTTTTTCCGACACTACAAGTATCACTAATACTATGTTCATCAGTTCAGTCATCTAAATAACTTTTTTTTTATTAAAATATACGCATATCAACTCGCAAATTCTTTCAAGATAAAACCAAAGATTACATTGATTTTTTGTAGCCTACTTAATTTTATCAGCAGGCGTTAAGATTATCATTCTTCTATAATATTGAAATAAACCAGGAAATATCACATAGTGAAAATATTAGACTAATTGTTTATACTATTGTATTCAAAACAAAAAGGATTTTGGATTGTAGTCGTATGATTAGTAAAATAGCCAAAGTTATTCTCGGTCTAGTATGAAGTTTCCAAAAATATGAATTGATCTTAGATTATCTTGTAATAATCAACTTTATATTGGATCAAATCAGCAGATTTTCTGAAGTTATTCTAGTTTTCACATATCGAATTTGTTTTGTCTGTTCAGTCAAATGTGTTTTAAAAAAATATATATATATATATAAAGTGTAGCTATCTATTAGCTACGCATAACATAGTCAAAGAACAAAAAGTAACGCAAATAATCGATTACAATAGAAGCGCACTGATGTTTAGGAAGGATGACGTTGATCCAATGTTTAAATTTTTACCCTGGTTACATTTTCGATGGCTTGTAAAGATCAAAGACTACATGAAGTTTGTTTTTATCAGATCATTGTTTAAACTTTTATTATTTACAACAACAAAAAAAAATATTTAAAAACGAGCCATAGGTACATATGGTTGCCTTAAGGATGTTGTCCTATTTAATTGTCGAGGTTCGATTAAATCTGATTCCATAGTTGTACTTCTTAGCATATCAAGTACAGGTGTTTTTCTCAGCCGAGAATCTAATGTAATGCCAATATTAATTCGTGGACTTCTTGTTTGATCAATTAGATTTTTAAATCTATCATCATCTGCACTGGATGTATTATTATCATCACTGTGGCATTCAAATGTAACAGATTTTGAACGTTTTCTTGGAGCTTTATTTGATATAGGTGTTGTTGTGCCATTAATGCGTCGTTGTAAAATACCTTTCGTGGGTTTTATAATCGGATCAACTAATGGAGCTGATAATGGCCGTCGACTTATTGCTAATGGATTAGGTTTTTCAAATTGAGCAATCAATTGTTGAACGTGTCGTGTTTGATTTGATTGTTGTTGTTGTTGTTGTTGCTGACGTTTTTTCAATAAAAATGCATTAAGATATCCTGATGATGATTTTTCTGTTGGCATGCGTGGAGAATCAACTTCATATGAAACATCACAATCATAATCGATTATTGGTGGAAAATAATTAGCATTTATTAATTTTGTTTTATTAATTGCAACGGGACGAATTTGGTTGTACGATTGAACATCACTCATTGAGGAATAATATCGATTGTTGACGCTGGTTACATTCACTAGACGTGGCTCGCTATCATATAATGAAGCGTTTATTTGTTTTTGTTGTTTTTGATTAACGTAAGGTAGTACTATGAAAAGTAAATATTTATTACCAAGTTCAATATAAGAAGAAGAAAAAAAACAATTATAAATCTAGTCAATTGAATAGACAGATTTGCTTGATTCAACATCAAGAACTTGTCTGTTAGTGGTCAGAGACGAGAAATATTTTGTAAAATATTACTATTGCGGAGTGGAGATACCTTGAGTTCAAGTCGATATTTTTATCTATTAAAATATTTTCGATTCAAAATTGCACTTTCAATAGACAATTTGAAATATGAATTCATTGAAAACCCAACCGATCATGTTTTACTACTTATACTAAGCATCCGATACTAATAATAGGATGGATTTTTTCTTTTGTTTTAAGTTGTTTTTGCATACACAGAAAAATAGAAGCCTGATTAAATCTAGCAAATTCTGTTGTAAACTTAGATGACATTCACTTCAGCCAGAATTCACGCTGAAAAATAAATCCAATAGATTCTAGTATGGGATGAGTGATTACTATTTATATTTGAATCTGTTCTCATGTGCAAAATTCTTTATATTTTATGAAACTCAGAAAACTTTATTAAATTCTAACCTGTTCTTTCTTGTAATTGTTGTTTAAGTCTATAATTGTGATTAGCTTCTTCATTATGATTTTCATTATTTTTGGATCTTGCTCCAGATGTTGATTTACTGTTCACAATTGTAATTGGAATCATATGAACTGTTCGTTGAACACGATTCATAGGATTTAATTCATTTGATGATATGGAACTCCAACGACCTGAGTCATGTGACGATTGAGATGAATGACTTTGAACATCAATATCAGCATTAACTGCTGTTGGCTGCTGCTGTTGTTGTTGTTGTTGTTGTTGTTGTTGTTTTCCATTATTTATTGGATAAAATGGTTTATATCCTTGTGGTACAGCTGAACTAAACAATTGTGTTGTTGGTGGATCACTACTGTCACCAACGCCACTGTCATTTGTATGAAGTAATGTTTTTAAATGATTTGACTCTTCTATATTTTTTAAATTTAATAAATCATATAAATGTAAATGAAGAAGATTTCCATCCGGATCATAGATATAATACTCAAATTTATTTAATGCAAATAATTTACTTGAATATTCATTAATAAAATGATCTAAATTATTTAAACGAAATTTAAAATATGCACTTTGAGCTATTGTATACGGCTGAATTGATGGTGAATATTTAATTGAAAATTGATAAATTATTTTTACATGTGGTGATGATGGTAAAATAAAAAGAACAAAACCTGGTTTACTTGAATCGGGTTTACGTTGAAATAAACGTGTATAAAATGTTAACATTGATTCAAAATGTTGAGTAAATATATTGAATCGTACAATAGGTTGTCGGCTATTAGGAATGTGCGATACAGACCATAATGGTAAAAAATATGATAGCTCATAATAATCTTGTCTTGCTAGTGCGTGCTTATTTTCATCTAATAATTCTATTTTATGATGAAAATTCCATATATGTGGTGATTTAAAAAAATGTTTAGACTTAGGTAAAAGACTTGATGGAGTTTTATTGGTTGTTGATATTGGTAAGGGACGAACAAGTTGTTGTTGTTTAAGAATGTCATCAGTTAAAAGAAGAACACAACTTAAAGATTGAGATTGAATTGGTAAAGATATTGATGGTGATGATGATGATGATGATTGACTTGTAAATGAACCATAGTAAGTTGTTGGTTGAATTTGACGTTCAACAACAAAAAATGATTGTTCACTTATAGCGCATGTACGAAGAAGTCCGCTTATTGCTGTTGAAATTTCATCACATTCGTTACTACCAATTTTTAATATAAGTTCGCAAGGTGTATAGTGAATAGTAGTCATCTAGAGAAATAAATTGGACGTATTCTCTATCGACTTGTAACTGTAGAGATATTCAACAAATGATTATCAATACTTACCCTTCTAATTTCGATTCTCTCGTTCTGTCATGTTATTCTCCAATTGGTCGAAACAAAATGAAATCAAGATTAAAAAAGAGCGTTATTTGAATACTACTCCGTCATCTGTCTGTATTCCCTCACTGGACAGCTTTCTTTTTTTACCATGTGCAATAATAAGTGTGAAACAAATTGTACTACTAGCATTTTCTTCCAATAATGAACACAATAGAATTTTTAAGTAGTGGCTAAACACTGTCAAAATTGACAGGTATTCTATTTAGCTTACAAAGGCATTCTCACTTTTCAGATAGCAAATACAAACAAGCATTTTGCCGTTCAAATTATCTCTTATTGTCTATAATAGTAGATAAAATAAAGAACAAACAAACTGAACAATTAGTGTCTTTTTCTGTGTGTACGCCTCTACCTCTCTCTCTCTCTCTTTTGTATATATCGATGATATCAGAGACAAAAAAGTGACATGCGTATAGAAAGCATAATAAAGAAGGACTAAGTCTACTATCTATCGATAATTCATCTTCTTTGACGTCACGTCGCCATGTGAAGCCCTCAGGTAATACATGCATTGTCTATGTTAACAGTAGCAATAGCACTTCGCTAGTTGCACCGTAGACGATTGAAAAACAAAGCACTCCTCATGCGCAAATATATACATAAGGCTGACTGACCGTTCGGCAACCACCATCAGGTTTCACTCATTGTGCGTGATGTGGTAATTATGGGCAGGAGAATAGAATAAGGCACAGAGAGAGAGAGAGAGAGAGACGAATGCAACGTCAGTACAATAGCTCTAGAGGGTAAGAAAAAAAGGTCGGCCAGACATTCACTGGTTTATTCTTCATATTACTGTTCTGTCTGATCAAACTGACGCGACACTCTAAAAAGAAGAAAAAACGAGCAATGCCGAAATTATTGGCGCGAAAGTGTGAAAGAAACAAGAAACATACTATCATAATAATGCCATATTGTTCTTTTTTTTAACATTATGTTCTAGTAAAAAAATTGATTCTTTTTCATTCACTTACTCTCTCATTCTCTCTTATTTTCTTTCACCTTCTATGAAGCTGTTTCGTATGAAGTAAATGTGTGAACGAAATTTTTTTCTTCTTAATATATATTCCATCTGAAGTTAACATGCATTCGAACGAAACGAGTAACCAGAATAAAATAACAAACTTTACTTGGTTTTTTTTCTCATTTTCATATGTTCGACATTTTAAATTTGCTTCTTTACGGTCAATCTCAATTGAAAAGAAGAAGAAAAAGCATGTAACACATGAAAACTATACTAGATCGTGCTTCTTTCGTTTACTTGAAGGTTCATTGTTTATCTAACCTCAATGTTTTGTATAAATGAATGATTACCGTCTCTATATCACTCACATCCGAATCATCACAAGTGAATGTGATCAGTCACTATTACAAATGACAAGCAGGCGATTCATGAATATAAGGAGGTGGTAGTTGATAGAGAAGGTCAATGATTATGTCTAGTTTGATCTATCAATATTACTTACAACTATCGATGTACTCCGGAAATTTTCATTCTTTCTATAGAACAACATCTGCGTGTAAATGTAGATGTTTTCTTATTCGTGCATAACTCGTAGTCTGAACTATAGAAACAGAAATCAATGATCAAGTGATCCGTATTCTTTGTCGGAAAGGAGGTCGTTAACTATTAATGATCTTTATGAATATTTTTTCAATGACCTATTTTTAGGACATTAAAGATGATAATTGTCGTTTGCAATTCTATAGGTGGCAATCAACACCTCTTTTATTTAACTATTACATTCAACTAAAAGAACATGAAGTGAAACTGTTCTTATACTGAGAGAAAAAACAGCCAAGAACTGATCCAATTGAGTGACCTTCTTCTCTATTCTATCCAGCTTACTGCCTAATAATCTCGTGTTCATTTTACATTCTTTTCTTTCAGCTTACATTTGCAGAACATGTATATATATACATGTATGTATGTGCATTCATCGTACACAGTAGAACAATGCACAAAACTATAAATAATGATCATGCACGTTTAGTTTATACTCATATTTCTCTACTTAGTATGGTGATAGTGATCACTATTAGTATGCTTGTCATTTTTTGCTCTGTTCTTTAACTATCACCATTGTCTTGATTTAATGCGTGCAAACGATCGTACTGGCACTGAACACTTGACTTCGTTTCGGGAGTAGGCGTTTCGTTTAGTAAAAAGAACAAAATTGAGAACGATAAATTTATAAAGAAAAGAAGAAGAAAGAAATTTTAATACTAAGATATGGAAGTCAATAACAAAATATGTTTCTTGTCGTTGCCGTCGTCGTTATCGTCACTACGAGCGCTAGATCGTGTGCTAAATAAGAAAGCAATAGAATCTTGGTAATGGTCAAGTGCAATCATAAAATAAACAATGACAAATGTTCACGGCTATCATTCGAAAAGGATATTAAAAACTTGACCTTTCTAGTAAAAAACAAAGAGAAAAACACAGCCGCAAGGTTATTTCAACACATGAAACAAAAGACTAATCAATAAGATCAAGAATGAATGAACTACTATTTTATTTGATCGTTACTATACAAAGCAAAGTGAAATGTATATTGTGTACTTCAAAATAAAATTCGATCTACTGAATAAAACAAAAATTCTACGAAAAGAATCTCTCGAATCGTTATTTCAACATTTAACAACAAATTATTGACGAACTTAATAAAACAAATGAAAAACTATATTTTACTTAGATATCACATAACAAAGATTATTTAATCATGCTATACCTAGAGGAACAAAGTTTTTCTTTAAGACGACAACCGATTATTCAGTATCGTATGATTAAGTATGAAATAAAAAATATTATTGATCTCACTTTATTGTATGCTATTTCAATTAAATGATTTCATACCTGTTCCGGTTAATTGTTATTTATAGTTGACAGTCAATCATTAATCTTCATTAATGGCAAAAAAAGGAATATTTCTCATTTAATAATAGTAATGCAACGCAACATAGATTGCATAAGTCTTATAAAGAAAATCGAAAGCGAACAAACGTTTTTTGTCTGTTTGTTCCACCTGCGCTTTACGTCTTTCTCGCTCTGTCTCTTTCCTTTTATGTAATGGTTCTGAATATACGCATATATGCATATATATTCAAGAGAGCCGATCGCTCATCAGCTCCATCATCTGATTTATTTTTTTTACAGAACAATGAAGGAAAAAAGAGAACAGACTATTCGTGCGTAGTAACGGTCGCGACGTAGGCAAGTTCATATGTTCATACACACACTCAAGCGTACACATATTCATAGACATGAAAGAAAGAAAAAGTATGCGCTTTTGTAGTTCAAGGTGTGAATTAAAACATAAAAGATTGGACACAATTAACACAATTTGTACAATATTTCATAGGCAAAAACTCGACTTCGAGAAAAAAAATGTATAAAATGAAGAACACTGCACAAATTGAATAGAGAAAAAAAATGTATTATTTAATCAAGAAATCAATATTGAATTATGAATAACATTTGATTTTGGCTTCATAAAACTTACATATATTATTCGATAAAGACATTCAAATAACATAATATTTATTAAGACCACCTATGAAATGACACTTAAAGTCGATTGAACATCATATGATCATTGCACAATTTTATGTAAAAATTTTCATAGCATTGATCAAAGAAATATCGATGTGAGTGATTAGAAGCAACTGGCTACTTTTCTTTTTCTTTTTTCTTATTAAAGACTTCACAGTGGTATATTGTTGAATCACATATTTCATAATCTATCACGATGTGTAATAAAGATATATGTTTCTGTTCCATTTTTCAAACAGAATCATATTTGAGTCGACTTGACAAATTTTTATGTACTTTGACGATAGAGAACGACACGAACACGGTATATTCATATATCTGTCCAATTATTTATTGATTTTCTGATAACGATATATAATCTTGCAGGAGAAAAACTATCGACTTTTCTCTTTTTGTAATCTTTTGATAGAGCTCTATTGTCAAAGTGTTGAAACTAATTAGACTTCGTAACTAATTAATACGAATTAGAAGATAATGCAAATGTTTATGTACAATTGTTGGCAAAGTGCATTCTTATTGTATGAAACTCGATGCAACCAGTGTAGGCTTCAGTTTTTTTTTGTCATGACTCTTCAACAGCGGCATAGAGACATAAACTCACAAAAGTGCTCTTGTTTTTGTTGTGACTATGCAAGAATCGAATATATCAATCTCTTTTCTTTTAACAAAAGAACTGATAAATTTTGAGCTTCTATATTATTTAACAAAGGGCACGAGATAAGCCAGCCTAATAAAGTCTGAAATAATGATTAACATGCGAGTTCTACAGTTGTCATATCAATAAATCAGAAAAAAAAAGAATTTAGCTGACTACGAAAATCTAAATGGACGACATTATATTCTTGGAGTGAAAGAAAAAGAAGAATTGCTTTTGAATACATCAGACTAATGAAAATTTATAGAAAGTTTTTCAACAATGCCTAGAGATACCAAATGAATTAGTACTTTATTTTATTTCTACTAGATCTACAGTAAAAAATAATTTTTACAATTGGATAATTATAAACAAAATAGTATTACTAGTGACAATCAATTTATCAATAATTTATTTTAATCAAACAATGATTGTTATGGTCGAAAATAGATTATATGACAAATTATCAATAAAATAAAATCAATTTGTAATGGAAGTGGCTTTTAAAATGTTGATATCAGTGTTGTAAAAAGGATATATTTTCTCTAGATGCTTAGTTTTTTTGGCAAATTTTTATTTATCTTACGAAATGTTTATTATTACTTGCTGTTGTCGATTATATGATCAATGAAACAAATGCAAGTCAGTGTTTTCATCGAAAAATATGTAAGGAGCATAATGATTATGTTAAGATTTTTATTGGAATAAGACAATTTATCGATAATTGCTTTAGGTTTGAATTAAATCTTTCTGAATAATAATCTATTGTTTCTTAGTTATTCTTTACTCGCTGTTATTCATCATAGCATAGACAATGTAGAGCACGCATTTTTATTTTCACATTGTTAAAAAGAAAAATGATTTAGTCAAGATTGCTTTGTAAGCTAATAGTGCTTGGAGTGGAAAACATTAATTATTCTATTTCGGCCCGTGACACGACATTACCGCGCGAGACACTTCCGCGCAACAGTGATTGTGGCAGCAAAAGTTGAGGGTGAGCTCAAAAATAAGGGTGAAAACGAAAACAAAAGTGAGGGGACGGGTGAGAGTTAGAATGAAGACTTTGCGAGCAAATATTATGCATGAATCTGTATTGCGCGGAAATGTCGTGGACCCAAGCTTGAAAAATGATTTTCATTGGTAGAGTACGATAATGAAAATATTCAACGTCTTAAAACGAATAATCCTGTCTTGCATGTTTTGTACTCATGTGCTATGAAGTTATGCGATAAAGTAAAGATTGATTGTTGATGATGAAGGTAAAATCGTTAACAATCTGTTGACACTACTTTGCTACTCGTACTATTATGATAATCATTTAAATACACTTACGAAAGTAATGGAAGATTTAACTATAGGCGAAGAGAATCATACAATCTTTTCTAGTACGATAGATTTGTAGATACAGAAATCTATTAAATAGATCATCGTTACGTACATAATCCTTGTCAAAAAAGTAGAAGCATGCAGTAACTCGTTTTGTTAGTACTCTATATGATAAAAGCTTGTAAGCCAATAGAACAGAAAGCAATATTTGGGTGTTCTCTTCGCAAACTGCTTATTATCATAATCGATGTGTACATAGTGGCGTTTGTGAAGTGTTTAATAAAAGTGTTTTTTTTATTGCAGTCATTCGAAATATTTTACTTGGCAATTGCATTCAATTGTTGTTTTGTATTCTTTTCTAAATTGATTTAATAAAAAACTTGTATGTAAGCATTTTAAATCCATAAAAAACATAAATCTTATGATTTTCAAAATGAAATGTTGAGATGTTAAAGGTTTTTCTAATACATTTTTTTTGAATTGAATTCAAATGTTCAGATCGAATTTTTGAGTTTAAATTATTTATAATTCAATTGTTTTACAGGATTCACAGATCTGATATTCGTAAACAAAAGTTAAGCATAACGAATCAAGAATTATTTTCACGATTAATAAATTTTCAAGTTGTTTTTTAGTGAATATTCACATGATAGATTCAATCATTATTCATATAATGAAGTTAATACAGAAAATAAATTATTGTTTAGACTCCGGTCCATATGGAGAAGATTCTAATTGTGTCGAAGGCTATGATAAATCAAATTGCATCAAAATAAAATGATGACATTGATTAAGCGTATGTCTCGTATTCATGCGTAGTTGATTCGATTAAAAGCGATGGCACGGAAAGTACTCTGTAAAAATCGATGGTCTTATTTCACATTAATGTACTATGATTCGTTATTATATCTAGCATTTTCCAAAAAATTATATATTAAGCTGTTAAATTCATTGTTATCTTTGACTTTTTTTATAAAGAAGATTTTCAAAGTAACTGAATGAATATTCTTTTCATGGTTAAGATTGATTAGAATGAGCATTTTACTTGTTACATCATGACGTAAAAGAGATGATAAAATACATCCTAATCGTAATTTAAATATTTTAATTAATTAAATCATATTATGTTCGTGGATTATGAATCAAATTTCTAATTTTATTTGAAAAAACACAAAAAAATGATGATCTTAAAATTAAAAATATACAATAATGTTTATCACCGATAAAGCAATATTGATCTTGAACCATCTGTTTTTTATTTTTTTAACGTACTTAAAGAAAGACACAAATATTATAATTTAAAAAAAGCAACATTAAACGTAAATGATCGAACAATTTGTTTTCTTTTTCAAATCTCTGATACATCAACTTTCTTTTCAGCGCTGGACCAACGTTGTTGAAACCATTTATCTAATCGATTATTAAATATTTTCTCTTTGAGACCTTTGCGAAAATTAAGAATGCAAATAAAAGCAAAAATCATCGATGATATATGCGTAAGAAGATTTGCTGCTATGCACACGTAAAGTGCTTTGGGTACAGGCACAAGGACTGCTGCTGTTAGCTTTAAATAATTGAATCCTATGGTTACAATTTCCGGATCGATGGCTTTCATTGTTGTTAATGCTTCTGTAGATGTAAGTAATGAGGCTGTGGACATCATTGTTGTAATTGTTGTTGTCGGTGCAACTGATGAGATAGTAGACATCGTCGTTGCAAGTGTTGTTGTAGATGTGAGTGATGAAACTGTGGACATCATTGTTGTAATTGCTGTTGTCGATGCAACCGATGAGATCGTAGAAATCGTCGTTGCAAGTGTTGTTGTCGTTGATATGGCAGTTGGTGAATGTGTAATGGCCTGTTGGATGTTTTCATTCATTTTCATTTATGAGATTCAAAGAAAAAAACTTACACTATACGCTGCAAAAACTAGAAATGCCGGTTGAAATAATGAAATAAGATAGAAAATACCAACTAATATAGAATTTTCAAGACGAACCTATATATATATATAAACACGTAGAAAACAAAATTTTGTTTCCATTTTTATTTTCCTGGCGTATGAAAAAATGAAGAAATATATCTTACCATGCCAATAGCGATGCTTAACCATACCAATGCTAAAGGAATACCAAAACTGAGTAAAAATATATCGATTACTTTATAATCATTAAAATTGTATAAATTGAGGACGAAAGTTGAAATCTTTAAAAAAACGCATGATTTTGTTTTTAAATGCATTTTACTAAATAATGAAGCACTTACTGAAAGCATTGTATTAATACGTACTATGCAATCAAATATATTGTAAATTTTAAGCGGACGGCGTGCTGCAGGAAAAACGCCAAAAATTCTTTTGAAAATCAAAAACATAGTTAAAATTAATGAACATCCCTTTTCTATTTAACAATAAGTATACCGTTTTGAAAATTCATCTCGCCTATAATCTTTAATAACAAATATTGCCAATGGAATAAAACAACAGTTAAAAACAATTGTAAAAATCAATCTAATCTTTAAATATAAATACTTAAAAATTCACAATATATTTTAATTCTTACAAGACGAATTGTTGCTGCTCTATGATCGGTATCAATTTCTTTGCTACGAGCAATGTAGTGTACAATAACATATATAGTAAGCATAGCGGCACTGGCACAGAAAGCTACAATATGAGCAATACGTTGATACCAAATTCCAGTAAAAAGAAATAGTAGAAGAAATACTATTAACAAAAGAATTTGTCATTTATTAATTCTTTTTCTTTTTTGCTATTTCAAATTAATACTTGAATTAACGAGAATAAGTAGACCGTATGCAAAGTCAGGATTTGTTTCTTTATCATCGATATCAAGAAGACGTATGATGGTTAAAGTGTCTGTAGCTATTGCAGCTAATACACCAACAATTAGAAAGATGATTTCATACCGATTTATATTTGCCCAACCACGACGCTTAAATTATAAGATATATAAAAAATATCTAATTAATAAAATAATTTCAATTAAATTACTGTTCCAAGTAAACCGCTTTCTTCAATAGCGACATCACTTGATGGCTGAAGAACGCTAGAAAACCTTGGCATCTCGTCTTCCTAGAGAATTGTGAAGTATATATTCAAAGAATTTTTCGATCATTTACTTACATCCATATGTTTATAGTTGCTGTGGTAGTTCTATTAGTTTTTTTATTTTTCTAATAAAACAACTCGAAGACGAAACCTCTTATTTTATCTTTTGACTAATACGAACAAGAAGAAAAACGAGTCAACGGTAGAAGACGAGCAAATAGAAATATCGTATTCATTATTTTTATCTTTTCGATGTCAATAAAAAAATGAGTCAAATGCATGCTATGATAGTTGAATACAACGTGCATGGAGATTTACAAATAAAACTCAAAGGATATATTTTCTTTTATTTTTCTATTCAATGAAAATAAGATCATAGAAATCATTTTTCAATGATTAATCTTTCGTAATTACTATTACGAAAATTGAAATGCGAAAGTTTCAAGACAAATCATTTTCTATCAAGAGAGGTTTTGAACTTCTTTGTTCTATGAATTCCCATTTCTCGTACTATTTAAACAGTTGAGAGACATGCCAGTATGTGCATACATTAGAAAATAATCTCAAGTCTAATATGGACACAAGATAACAAGAATCTGTGCATTATTTGAACATACTCATGTACTATACTATTTTGTACCATTTTAAAATCAATGATACACTTTAGTGAGAATATTAGAAAGGATTTTTAATTCGAACAGTTCAAAAATTAAAATTTATGCCTTCGATCAAAATAAGAAACAAAGCGTAATCATCTGTAATAAGAATTATTTTTCTTTTATAGAATCTTAATGTTAAATATAGACATGGTATACCTAGAAAATTATATAGGCTAGCATTTCATGGAGTTCAGTTGTTTTGTGTAGTCGATACACCGTATATTCTTGAAAGCTTGGCATAGTTTTTTGTCATCAAAAGAAATTAAAGATTGTCCTTACTACTATATTTCCTAAGCACAAATATACTATATTTCAGTACGAGTGCTCCTTGAAAAAAGTTTTTTAAATTAGCGAAATCAAGCAAATAATTAGAATGAAGAACTCTCAAAAAGAAAATTTTTTATGTATAACTAATGATGGGCTATATGGAATATATTACAACAATCTATTAAGAATAAATTAATAGATTTAGAACGATGCCATTTTAGAAGAATGCTGAAAGACTTTCCTTCATAATCGTGGAAATGTTCAAAGTTTTTCGATAAATTTGACTATTTTTGTTTCTAATTCATATGTTGAATGCAAAGTTTTGTTAGAAAATTAGCTCGCATTATAGTTTGCAATGATATATATAACCAGTGAAAAAAGACTTACACTCAAGATGAATATAGAAAAGAATGGTATTCATACCTAATTTTATTTCCGAAATGCATATTACAATACAGCGCCAAACAAATCGGATGTTTTGTCTTCTATGTTTTTCCCTGTTGCAAGTTGTTTGTTTAGTAAAATATATATTTCAAAATAGCATGTAGTAGGTGTGTACAACTCACGCTCGCGCTCATATGAGCGCTCGTGAGCGAGAGCGTTTCTTTGGCATGGAATACGCGATCGCTTCTGGTCATTTTTATCTAGTCTATTTTTCGAACAACAATATTCAAGCATTTTGTACCTGGGACCCCCCTCAGGTATTATGAATACAATTTGCTTTGTTTATGAGCCAAAATCGTAAGAATTGGAAGATTTAGGAGTACTGATGACGAATATCATCCTGAGAACTCTTAAAAAACTTTTATTCGAGAAATAGCTCTAATCACTATTTGCACCGCTTTCCTGATTATTTGACCCTCCTACCATAATTATTCACTCAAACTCAGCGAAAAACAACTTTTCTAACTCAGAATTTTGCGTTCTATGCGAATCGAAACATTTTACAATCATAAAGTGTAACATTTGCAAAGGAACTAGCGATCCCCCAACAGAAATTAACACTTTCTCTAACATATCGAATTTTGTACCTATGACAGTTTGTGAAGTCACTCCTATTGCAACGTAAGATTCGACTCATCAGCGCAAATTTTCAAGGCCTTTCGATTGGTAGTTACAAAAAGTAGAAGAACAGATATAACAAGGTGAGAAGTAAAAAAATAGAGAAAGCGTTTGTCATCGTTGAAACAAATATGGTCAAAAACAGTATCACCTAAAATAAATATGATTGGATTAGAGATCATCAATATAAACATTCGAATTTCTTGTAAATTAGTTGTTTGATAATCTTTGGTTCGAGGATCTTCATCTAAATGATGTGAATATCGCGGACGAGCATACAACGGAATACACTTAACTCAGACGTATCTGTGTTGAGTTTGGCTATATTGGTATAGTTTTCAGCGTCAAAGTAGTGTTTTGAAAACATGATGCGCGTACAAAATGCTGTTTTCTCTTCTCTCTGAATAGAAAATTTGAGAGACAAAGAAAAAGGATACCACTACGTAAATCTGCGAGATTATTTTCAGTTTGCACTCTATTTATCTAGGTTTTTGTGAGTTCGAAGATGACGAGAAACATGCCAGGATTTCGAATTGACAAAGTAATGATTTCTTTGTAATTTTCTGTCAGTAGGAAGCCTTATTCACGCAAAAGGAACGTAAGAGTACATGAATTATATTCGGATATGACATCATATGATTATATACCTGATAAAAACTAAGGTAACTTCTTGGCTAACGCCAATTGGTTAGCACTTCAAATTATGATCCTATGTGACAGTCTCTTTCTTGTATCTCATATATGACTAATGTCTTGGCAATTCACTGGCAGTCAACTGAGCGCTGGAACATCGCTAGCATTTTACACAATGTACGGAAATTTTTATCGGAAACAGGAACAAAACTTGCTTTCGATCTACCATACATAGAAAATTATTAGAATCATTACCCTTAAGAGAAGAGGGTAACGGGGGAAAAAAATGAGCATAATGATATATTTTATCTATGCGATTTGAAGTAGCTATGTAACTGCATCAAAACGAGACAGATTTACTATTCATATCAATATAAAACATTCACGCCGAGATATTTTTAATTTTGGTCGAAATATTATGTATTTCTTTTAATTCACACTATCTTGTTAATGGTTGGGGAAAGAGGCACAACCCAATGTCGAATATGATTTGATGAAATTGAACCGGGCCTCTTATGATATCTCCTCGCTTTTCTGCATCGTGTACAATCTCACCTTTTCTTCACCTTTTGCTCGCAATCAGACAACAGTTACAGATGACTTCTTGCAATTCTCAAATTTATTCCGTTGGTAATATGATCTTTTCTTTTCTTTTTCAAATCTATTATACAAGAGTTCAAATAATATTTTTTGCGCTTACTTGTTCTCTAAGAATAATCTACCACTAACTCACGGTATAACTTATATCAGGCGTGATAACAGTTGAGGATCTTATCCACTTTCTTCCGTATTCGCTCTGATTTATGTAAGACTACCATCATCAACTAATAGAGACATAACAAGGTCGCTCAAAACCTAAGACTTTCTTTCTGAAAAGCCCACCATCATCGAATCAATTATAGAAATACTCAACAGAACGACTTGAATAAACCTGAATATTCCAGTATTTTAGAATTTTCCCTCTGTCGTACCTGATTTTATCTTTTCGCGACTATCAATCAATAACGCTTGAAGAGCGAAATATACGCCCCAAGTTTCATGTCCCATAAGGACTAATTTCACGCTAAAAATCGAACATATAGAGATAAATCTAGTAAAAAAAAGGGCTTCTTTCACTTGAAGTTCGAGTCCTCGATCTGTTTCACATCATTTTAATTATTTTTTATGTTACCAATCGATAGAACTTGAAAAATTACACGTATCGTCCGAATTTTACGTTCCAATAACAGTGACTTCATAAACCATCATAGGGACTAAATTCTATTTGTTAAAGAAAAGATGAATTTTTGCTTGGAAATCACTATTTTGTTTCCAAATACTACCGTGTAGGGTTGTAACAAGTTCAGATTCATATAGAGCGCAAAGTTATGAATTAGAAAATGCGTTTCCCATTGAATTTTAGTGAATAAGAATGCTAAGAGAGTCAAAATAACGAGGAAGGAGTTCAAAGAGTGATTAGAGATATTTCAAGAATGAACGTTTTTTTCGAGGTCTGATGATAATATTCGTCATCAGCACCACTAAATCTTCAAGCTTATATGATTTTGGTTGATTAATTTAAAAAATTGTATTCACGATACTTGAGGGGTACCACAGGCACGAAAAGTGTGAATGCAGTTTTTCGAGGAATAGACTAGATAAAAATGATCAGAGTAGATTATGCATTCGATGGCATACAAACGCTCTCGCTCATGAGCTGTACACCCCTAGTATATAGAATATATTTTTTCATTATAAGTTCTTTGTTTCCCTAAAACAATAAAAATGTAATTTAGCAAATGAATGTCACACTGACACAGAAATACAATGATACGTGATATATCTGCAGTCTAAATTTATATTGGTGATGTATGAGAAGAAAGTGAAAATTGAAAATACAAGAGAATCATCTGATCTTGAGAAAATCTTATATCATTATTTAACCTATTTCCGAATGGATCTGACAGAGATCATCAGTTCGGCAAGTTCAACAAATTAAAGAATTCTATCCTATCAATTCCTTTTTTCGTGGATCTTTCTTTCGTTTCATAGGAAAAACCATTGCTAATAAAAATAATGAACTAGGGAAAATGTTTCAAAGTCAGGAAGAAAAAATGTTCCAAAGTCAGGAAGAAAAAATGTTCCAAAGTCAAGAAGAAAAAACATCATAGTTCAGTAACACTATGAATTCGCTCTCTCTAAATGAGGCGATTGTCTCTTCAGATTCAGCTTGGCGAAGCCTATTCAATTTAATTCTACTTCATTGAGTTTGAGTATAACATGATAGGGAAATCTACTAATTAGTAGTTTATTTGTTGCTAGTCTTAATGCGGTAGATGTACTAGATTCGTTCATGACATCTATCCAACAAAACGCATGTCTCCGACTTAATCATGGTGTTGTTAATTTCATTAATGCACTATTTCTGGTCCACTTATGTTGATGAATAGAAAAACGCGACACAATGGCTTTTTCCCTGCCTGGAGTGTAAATAGCATAAAATATTCATTAGCACGTGCCTTTTTTATGACGTATTCGAATGGTGTCTACGCAGCGTTAAACCGATAGAGCACATTGTATTTTACCTGGAGAGAGCCTATAGATAGTTAGAGAAGGAGTTTTAGTAAATTAATTATTAAATGAAACGTTTATTATTGATTTTAATGATTATAAGTCGCGTTGGTTCAGTGGACGATCTATGTCATTGTTGAGCATATACAAAAATGGATGACTTGTTTTTGTTCCAGATTCTTTTTTAAGTTTTAAACTTCATTTATTGTTCGACATGAATGCAATAAACATCTCTACCTATTCTATATATTGTTATTCTATTTGATAGTTGAACAAATAGACCAGATATGTATGATAGTAGAAAACACAAGAAAATAAATATGTGAAGTCCAATTGATTTTCGTGATGAATAGACTTCAATTCTTTTAATTCGAGCATGATTTTCCTTGGAAACTAAAAACAAAGTGAACTAAAAATAAAGATCAATATGCTCCCTTCTGTATCAAACTTCTCAAAGTTTAAGCATATAAAGTCTAGATAATTTATGATTTATTGACACGTGTCGACTTTCTTTTTATATTAATAATAGCATGATGTTAGATGAACATTACTACTTTCATGTTCCCATTATATTTCTAACTTTCTTTTAATATATATATGTCGTAGGCCAATTTCGGACTCAGGCCATTCTAAGATCCGAGTTTGGACTAGTCCAATCTTGGATTGATGCAATTCTATTCATTAATATATCAATAACTTTTTACATAAACTTTGGATTTGAGTCATTTTTTGAAATCATGTTCAGATAACGTCGTTTTATGTATTACAAGCATTCACGGAGAAGCTGACTTTAGACTCGGAAGCTTATTAACAATTTTTCATAAAACTTGTTCCCGTAGAGAAATCTATTCATAACTCCTAATATTTCACTTGAATCTTTCCAAAACCGATTGTACAAAGCAAATTGGCATCGTATGAACATGATTTCAAAATATGACTCAAATCCAAATTTTATCTAAAAGGTTATTGGTATATTAATGAATAGAATTGCATCAATCTAAGATTGGACTAGTCCAAACTCGGATCTTAGAATGGCCTAGGCCAATCCAGGATTGGCCTGAATCCGAGATTGGCCTGGATCCCAGATTAGCCAACGACATATATATAGATCAATCTAGACACTAACAATGTGTTAAATAGCTGGAAAATATTTCACTTATCCGAATAATAAAGCACTATTCATTACCCTTGCGATGACATCATAAGTCATATTGACATAATTAATTAGTCTAGACATTTTGTATTTCATAGCTATCATAAATAATCATGTTGCCTTTTATCTTGGTAAAATTTCGAAAGTCTCATATATGAACGTGTTAAAGTAAAACGAACGTCGATGGTATTTTATCTTCATCAGTGAAGATTTTGTTTTTTTAATGATGTTTATGTTTTCCTAGATAATTAATGGCCCAGCTCTATATAAATGTCAACAAAGATTCGGCTTTAGCAGTGCCGGTGTTAATAATGCCATCAATATAGTTGTCAGACTATCAAATGAAAATGAAATTTAGGATAAAGGTTTTTAGTTTTAATAATGATAGTCTACAAACATCACAACAGAAAATAACATAAAAATAAGTAATTTAAAAGTTTAGATGTGTGACCCTTCAAATGTTGGTTTTGCATTGATATCATCTAGTTTCACAATATTTTGTTGTAGTAATTGCTCAGTCCGTTGTTTTGTACTCTTAGAAGAGCGTAAACTGGAAAATAGCCGATTACGTCGACAATGCACAAGTGAAAAAAATGCATAACGAAACCTACGCCCACTTATACAATAAATAATAAAATTTGTGCAAAAATTTAAGTCTTTCAAAAACTCAAAAATAGATCGTGTAATCAAATAATGTTCAAAATGTTTTTGTGTAAAACAGAAGCCAAAGGGTAAACCCCATCTAGATATCGAACTTGTTATTGTAAATGGTAGAAAATAAACCATAAACATCAATGTAACAATAAAGAGCATAAGCACTAATTGATTTTCATTTGTTTGTAACGGTCGTTTCTGATGATAAACATAATTTGTTAAAACTTGATGTCGTTGAAATATAGCCCGCTTAACTGTATATAATGTTATACAATTACCAATAATAACAATTGATAATGGAATAAAGCAATAGCTGAATTCGGTTATCGCTGCATTTATTTGTCGATAATTTTGCCAATCTGCTACTGGATGACAACGCTTCTTTTGTTCTGATGACACATCAATTGGTATAAGTAAAACACGCGAAGAAAATATCATACTCATCAATGCTATTAATATAATTAACACTCGAGCACGACATTCAGAGACAAATTTTTTAATATGTATTGGAAATATAACAACCAATGCACGTTCAACTGTTATTAATACTATTGTCCAAACAGATAGTAGTACGCAAGCATCACGAAGAAACACTAAAGCACTACACATTGTTGGTGAATAAAATATTACCGATGTTTTGTTTTTAAATGAGAGTAATTTAAATACAAGAACAAGTGTATCTGATATAGCCATTGATTTTACATAAACAGAAAATGACGAACGATTTAATTGTGAATTTGTTAGAACAAGAAGTAAAATTAATGAATTAGTAGCTAAAGCTATGATTGGTAATGTATGAAGAGAAATATAGCTCAATGTTTCAGAAAAACGATATGCTGCCGATGTATTGAGCGTTAAACCATCGGGTTCACACAAAAACCGATTCATCTATATAATTGAAAGTTGAAACTGAATGTACAATATTATTTTTTTTGTTAACTTACTCCATACAGACGCATCGATTTATTTGTCACAGGGAACCAGCTTTCATTTTGCTATTATAAAGAAAAAGATACATAGAGTAAATCAAATGTGTTACTTGATGGGAAATGATCAGTCAAACGAATCGATTAATTAATTCGAATGATGATAAATAACAACAAGCATTGAGTCTAGTATTTTCTTAAAGATACTGCTACTACAAACGTAAAACACAATCTTGCTATGATTGAAAGATAGTCGGCAAGTTTAAATGAAATAATATAATTTCAACAATTGATTGAAATTTTAATTATATACTATTTCAAGAATGAGAAATATAATATCACTGTTTCATTTGTATCTACAAGGAGAGTAGTGTTGTAGTTATCATGAAGATCTATCATTGACTACCACGAGCTGTATAGAGCTTTTGCAACATCCTGTACCAAGAAATTAGGCCGACTTTCGGTCTAATGTTTTACATCAACATTTCATTTATATTATGTTTAACAATAACAAAACAAAAGTTTAAACAGAACAAAATTTAGATTTCGTTTTTAGTCTTATTTGATTATAACATGACAATGCTAATAGTAGATTCAACAAAACAAAAATAAAACTAGAATTTTGTTGCTTTTTCGTTCGTTTTATTCTGTTTTCATAATCAACCCATTGGCTCGAATATTATGTTCTTAAGTATAAATTAACTTTTCCAAAAGATGAAATATCGCTTAAACAATAGATAGATTGAAATTTCAATAAGTTTCTGAACACTATTAACTTGATTTTATTTCTCATTGTGTTACTATTGTCTATGCTTTTATTTCAATCACGTCCCAGGAGAACGATTCCGATAGTGAGATCCTATCGGATTCGTGTCGGAATCTTATCGGATATAGTATGGATTTCATTAAACCGACGAAATGCTATCAGTATCCGAGTGTGGGACCTATAATCGGAACCATAGTGTTGGAATTCGATAGGTTTCAATGTCGGAATTTAACGGAATCCAACATCCGCATTCGACCCATGTGTTCTGTTAGCACCATATGCCTATTCATTGGCGATTAAGAAAATGTTTTTTTTCCGTCGGATCCGTTAGTAGATCCGTGACCAAGAATCTGATCGGATTTTGTCGGCTTGTCGAATCTCATGAGATCCGATAGGATTTACTATCGGACTCATTCACCTTGGTGTACTCAAGATCTTGGTCAAGACCTTACTTACAAGATATTCGACTAGAGTAGGCTTTTATTTCAATCGTTTAATAAAAATTAAAAAAATGAATTTATTATTGTCAGTCACACATATCTTCTAAACATGCTGATTTGTTGAAACTCAGTCAAAAATACTAATCGGTGTCTTCACGATGAGGTATACAGTGATTTCCATTAGATATAAATCCTCTTAAGAATATAAAAGTCGCGAAGAAAAACAGATTAAATTTTAAAGTAAAAGGAGTCTGTATAGTTCAAAAATCAAAAGTTTATATTTAATGACGAACAATAAGCAAATGAAATGCAATGCATATTGAACCATACTTTTTCTATTTATAAACCGCAATAGTTCAGGTTATAATGATGAGAAGGTTAAGTTATTTTATTCTTGGAACAGCACATGTTAGCCATATAAAAAAAGTATTCTTCATTACATTCCGTGTAATCATAACGTATGAAAACAACTGATTTTTTTAAAAGCTTCTGCTTGCTCGAGCTCCTTAATAGTCATTTTTATTGTTTGTACAAGTTCAACCATTTAGCTTATATTATAAACAAAAACTACTTATTAACTAATAATTTCAATAAATTTCCGTTTATAATGAACTCATAACGTTAGTTTTTGTTTACGTGACGCATTATCGCATTCATGGCGTGATATATAATGCTGTTTCTTTAACTATACCTGTAATGATATTGACGATAATATTGCCATAGCGAAGTTTTGCAGCAGTATCTAAATAAAAAGGGTAGTAAAAAATGTTTTTGAAACACAAATGTTTTATTCTCAAAAGTAACAATTAAAGAAACAAAGAATCTTTCGAGACAAATAACAAATCATTTTTTTCTGTTAGCTTTTTCTTCTTTCTGATTCACGAAGTATAACAGAGAGAAAATTCTCTCATAAAGAAAAAGAATTCCATCTACCATTTTATTTTATTTTATAGCTTTGATGAAAAACGAGTAACAGCAGAAATCAACTATCCATTAATTTCTTCTCAGATCTGTTTTTTTTTAAATTGGTGTAATATCGAAGATAATTAATTAAAGACTTAAAAGTCAAATGTCAAAGCATGAGTAGAAGAAATGTGCCAAGAAGGATATATAAACACTGAAAAAATGAACAACAAGTCAACAAAAACATTTCGATATGAATATTAGCTTCAACGGTTTTAATAAAAAAAATAGAAAATAGTTTTAATGATATCTTTAGGAAACGCCCTTACAAAACAATGAAGGTTGCTGAGTTTCTTTTTCTAGTATTGAACATTTATAATCCTATTTCACAAAGAAATATGATGAACCAGCTTGTTGCAATAACTCCGTCGATAATATTACAAAGATCTAGTTACTATTCGAATAACGCATCTATTCAAATAAACATAGTGTTAGCTTTAGCTAAAGAATCGTTTTATTGTTAACAGAAAAACAGAGACACGATCAAGAGAGCAGTTAAAATTCAACTGATTTTCACAGAACAACGTGATTAACCCTTTCTTATTTTTCGCGCCTTTTTTTATCCAATAACAGTAGTCTATCATAATACTGGTTAATAGGAAGATACAGGATATTTCATGAACTCTGAGATATGACAAGATTAATTTGTAGCAGGCTGGAATAACGCTTGGCTAATTCTTTTAATTTCGCATTAAAATATAAATGTTAGCCTTCTTAATGATCTATTTCTTTATGAAATGTTCTCTTGTACTACTAAAAATATAAACACAACAATGAGATCATAGATGGAACCGGTTCGGCAGACCGGTACCGGACCGGCCGGTCTGCGCAATTTTTTAGTCATATTTCTATAGAGCATCAAATATTTGGTCTGTAGATGACGTAAACAAGGACAGTTAAGGTTTTCATGTGGATAATATAAAATTCTAATCTTAAATTGTAAATGATATTATACAAAATTTGTGTTGTTTTAATTCTATAAGACTATGCAGCAGTTGCATAGTCTTATAGAGTATGTGAAAGGCGATACTCTAATATTTGAAGTATGAGTTATACTTTCAAAACTACATTTATACTGTTTTCGACAATTCAAACTCAAAGGGGGAAAATCGTATTTCTGTATTTTCATATTTCTATCTATTTCGAAAGTATTTCTAAGTGTTTTTACGAATTTCTATGTATTTCCAATTTATTTTTACATATTACTGTATTTCTGAAATACATATAAATACATACAAATACGTAGAAATACTGAAATTTGGTCAAACTACATGAAAAGAGACCCGCCGGTTTTTTGCCAGTTTTAGCATTAATATAGACCGGCCGGTTTTTTGCCGTTTTTTGTCAGTTTTAGCATTATTATAGACCGGCCGGTAACTGGCCGGTCCGGTCCGGGCAGAAAAAACTCGACCGGTTCCATCTATGAATGAGATGATGTATTTCTCATAATCAACAAACAACATTTTTTCTTAAAAAAAAACAAAAATACTCTATGTGATTAACATGTTGTTCAATCAGATAATATGCAATTACATTGGATGGTCATGCGTTATTGTGTTACTAACTAATTTTTATTGATTTGTGACGTCGGTTAAGAATTTTATGAACCATTGGAAATTACGTTGTTCACTATTTGTTCAATTTAAATTTATAATTATTCAAAGTTTGAGAATTTTCTTTTCCAGTTTTCTCTTCAATATTGCCATCAGGGTTACCAACTTCAAATCTTTGAAATCAGGGAATTTTTGTGAAAAATCGGGAGTTTTTCAGGAGAATTTTTTTTCTGAATCAGGAGTTTATTTTTGACATTCAAAAGTCATTCGATGATTTTTATCTGATAACTTCCGATTTTTCACTAATAGATGCATTAACCTATTTTCCTATAATGCGATTGATGCTGAAAATTTTCCTTGTAGACGAATTAAAATTGAAAATAGAATGCTAATTTCATAAAGTTTATTTAAATAGATAATTAAAATGTGTTCATTAGAATGCATAGTAAAAACTGCTTAGCTAATTTATTCAGTAATTCGTGACACTTTTGCGACGTGACTCTACTTAAATCTAACAATCGAATATGTGTTTCGAAAGATCTGATTCATTTAAAAGATAATCATAGAGTTATGGTCAAGCAAAATAGGCAATGTTGCCAGATCCTCATATCTTGTGGAAAACTCCAGCTTTCGAAAGTTTTCCCAAATTTTCAAAGCTTTTCTCGATTTTTCTAGATTTCGAGAAACAAATTCCGGATATTTTTGGATTTTCGAGGTTGACATCAGGCAGCCTTCGTGAATGTATACTTTTTTATTTAAATATATGTTGTAGATATGTATAAAGAGTATCTTTGTTTCGAATCCGTTACAGTAAAACGTACTTTAAATGATAAAACGAACCCAAAAAACGTTTCCGCTTTTTCCAACATTTGAAAAAAGCTCAGCTCCAACAAAATCATGGCTCATTTGATTTCGACTATCATTCCATATATAAGTTTAACGCTTCCATAAATTTGTTGTTTTCTCTTGGAAATCGCTATAGGTTTACAACGAAGCTAATCGTCACATTAAAAAAGTCAGGAAATCCCTAGTCAGAACAGGAGATTTGGTAACCTTGATTGCCATAGGCTTTCTGTCGACGATTAGAAGCCTGCGGAGTTAATTACTGTGACTGCAAAACTAGGGTTCGGTCACAATTCCGAAAATTTTGAACAATGTAATTTATAAATTAGTCAACCCCAGCAGAGAATGGTTCATATAATGATTTAAAGTACGTCCTTTTTTCACTAAATATTTGGCA